ATGTAAGAAGCATACTAAAATATCATAAAAGAGGTGATGTGACTTGCTTCTGGAGTAGGAAGGGTTAAAGGGTGCTGTAGGGGTGTTTTAAATGCTGTTTCAGGTCAGGTGTTCACAACTGTGATGCCTCAGTAACCAGATGTTCTCTGCTGTTCTTATTAAAATGTATTGTTTAATTTTAAACAAATGTTTTAAATTACCTTAATGGTAATGCTCTAGGGGAAATGAATTTCTAAAATCATTTTTCAGGCACTGGACAAAACAAATGCTGGCCTACATTTTTGGAAAGGATGAGAGATGTCAAGTGCCCTCAATATTTAATACCTAAAATTAGATGTCTTAAGAATGGAATAGTTACTTGATGAAAATATGGTTCATTTAAAGAGGATTAAATTGCACATAAAAATTATCCACCCCCTTTAGAAAATTTAGACTGTGTTTAAAAAACTAGAAATCCTGGTTTTATCTTACAGTTTGCTCTCATATAGGTGACCATAAGTCTTTTTTTTATAGTAGATCCTTTACTCTAAAACTCTAAATGCAGTTAAGACTTTGGAAGATCAAGACTTTCCTTTGGCTATGTCAGGCAGAATTAAAGGTACCCGTGGCATCTATGAATACTGGGACATATGCAAGGAGATACCAAGCAATTGCAGCTCAGGCTGTAGAGACCCACATTTATATGGGGTTTAAGTTTCAAACATTAAAGCAACTGGGCTTGGACCAACCAGACAGAGGAGGGTGGAAGTGAAATGAATTCTGGAGTGATGAAATTACTTTGGACAACTTAATGAAAAAAAATGCTCAGATCCCACTGAGCCATTAAATGATTGATTTCCACATGGAAGCACCCATCTCCCCTGACAAGCCTTTGACAAAACGGGTTCTTTGTTTTCATGTGGAATGGTTCTTGACCAAAAGATTAAAAAGAATGAGGGGAGAAAGGGACAGAAGGGGTTATGAGCCCAACAGACAGGAGAAAATATGTTGAAAAAGAAGACTGAAGTACTTGTGCATTCATTAAACATAAAGGTAGCATTTGCAGATGTTTGGATTGCTTAATATTCAGGCTAAGTTGATGGTAAATTATATAAGAACACAAATAATTTTAAATCTTCCAATATATAATTTAACTTCTTTTTTTTTATGGTTGTCTTCAAGTCCTGATATGTCAAGTAAGTTAATGGCAAAACATCAAAACTAATTTCCTTGAGATCACGGAGTAACTACCTTTTGCTAATTTGGAGCTCTGAGGTTCTGTTAGAACTTGAAATCACAATGGTCAGCATCAGATTGCAAGTGGCATCCCAAAGGGCTCGGAATTAATCTGTTGAGGCAGCCAAGCTACCAAAGCAATCACGGCTGAACATACAGAAGTCCTGCAAACCGCGGCATCCCTGATAACTATTGCAACAGTCAACTTTTGCTGTGTGCAAAAGCTGAATTTAAGATGTTAATGCTCTAAATGCCATGTCACTAACCATTTTTGGAGAGAAGTCTCCCCAGATATAGCCTTTTCTCAAATATTGAAAGAATGTGCGAATATCTTCACAGCCATAGTCATACTCCAGTTCCTTCCTCCGCTGCTCTTTGTTTCATTCCTGCCTTCTGAAGTCTGAAATACTCTAACATTTCTAAAATGAGTTGTAATGAGTCCAAAGAGAAAAGTTTGACTTTTGTTTTCTTTAAATCCTTAGAGATATGTACCTAAATGCTTTCCCCAATTCTATCAGACTACATTATTTCCCTCCAGACAGATTGTACAGTCCACCTCTAAGGTGCTCTGGTTATTGCTGAGATAAGCCAGTTCAGACGAATACAATCTGTTTTCCAAGGGCTGGTGTTCAGAGCCAGCTGTTGACTGCACTCCTGGCAAAGGACAAGAGTCTGACAAATTTTGTGTTCGCGCTAGGAAGCGAAGGTCCCCTTATTTCCTACCAAGACCCTTTGTAAGGGTAAGACCAGTTGCCTGTTAACGCTCGCCCCAGCAGGGCAGAAGCAGAGGAGGGGAGTGCAGCGTTGGCTCCACTTGCTGGGGAGAACAGCAGAGCCAAGACAGCGGAGATGGGAGCTGGTAAATCCTTGCTGGTTTAAGCCAACAGTAACTTTTTGCCTGGGAGCAGACAAAAATGGGAAGACTTAACTCAGTGTTAGGGCATACACTGGTTAAGTCTGTAATGGGAATGTGGAAACTAACTCTAAAGATTGGAATATGTGTGCTTTAGGGCTAATTCAAATGAAATGCCAATTCAGGAAGCTCTCATTCCACACACCACAGGCTCTGGCTGGGTTTTGCCACACACTACCAAATTGTCTCCACTTCTGAAGTAATCGTGCCAAGAAAGGAAACAGCATAGTAGTACCCATTGTACAGGTCCACTGCTTTCATTCAGTTCCTGTGGATTCAATGGCAGAATTAATTGCAAAATAAAATGCATGTAATTGGATTAATTAACAGTACATTTCAAGGTCCTAAAATACAGAGTTAGCCGCAGGGTAAATGCACAATGCAGGTTTTTCCTGCGAACAGACAAGTGCTATTTTTGGAGCTGTATCTGTATCTCATCGAGGTGTGCCTTGCTTAAAAAGCTGCTAGGATAAGAAATGGGGCTTTGAAGGGGGAAGATAAATACTATGTAATTAGGGCTGCAGGACAACAAAAGGATTATTCTTGAATATAAAATCATTTGAGTGAAGTTGCTTGAAAAATAATTATACCTCAAATTGCTTGCATGGGGTCTAATATTTTCTTTGCAAGGACTTACAAGACTCATTGAATATTTATGGACCTGGAACATAAGCCTGGATGAAATTTAAAACATAAATTTTATTGCAATTTATTGTGATGAAATTCCCTAGCAGTTGTTGCCCCAACCTTTAAGCCTTAATAGACAGGCTTCATGTTGCAGAACACAAGCCCATGTGATAAATGATATCAAAGCTGAATGCCCTTGATTGATGAACGCTGCCTTGTTGGATGACTGTAAAACAGTCCTGAGGGCTGATCTCACCACTATTTTGGTTGTTTTCTTTTTTTTCTTAATGCATATATTGCAGAAGGGTTGTTTGTGCTTCTGGTATGGTTATCACATGCAAATGAGCATGCTGTTTCCCAGATGCAGATTTCATATTTATAGATTAAATACAGCCTGAAAAATCGTGTGTTAATTACATTCTGAGGGTGTAGCAGAATTTCTCACTTCAACATGTTTCGTTTTGCTGGAAATAGTACAAATTCCAGATCAATGTATTTAGTTGCTTGAAGCTTGGTAATAAATATATCACGCTTTAGAAAAAGCTTTCTAATCATTACTATTACTAATCATTTACCATTAGCTCAATGCTTAGACTTCTATCCCACATTATGTATTTGTTTTTAATAATATGTATTTCTCAGAAAACAACCGATACTATAGGATGGGGGGTGGGAGGAGGGCTAAGGATCAAAGCCAAGCAAGCAGACTATCAGAGATACACTGGCAGAGGAAGATCTGTGAGAAGAGGTTTTAAGAACAGGACTCCCTGCAGTCGGCTCAGTTAGCTATAAATGGTCCTTTTTTTTTTTTTTCTATTGCCTGTAAAGCTCCCACACCACATACATCATGCTGAAAATCCACGTTCTAGGCGTCCCTCCTTTAGTATCTAGTTTGCTGTGGCCAAAAGAGACACTGCAATCCCACGAGAGGCCTCACCACTCCCTGGTAACGGAGCTGGCCAAAGAAACATGCCTCCTCCTGAGGCAGCAGGGAAAACCCACCAGGCTGATTCAGTTGCAGATTTAGAAACTGTTCAGTGGTAGATGTTGGCTGGTGGCTTTTAAACTGAGAACTAGCCCAGATGTACTTACATCCCAGTATGTCAAAGGACACACCAGAAATATTTAGAAATGTGCTCAAACGGGAGCGTAGCAATTCTTGTGTTTGAAATCAGGCCAGTTTTGCCTTTGGGGATTGTGTTATTGAAGGCAACGCTGAGCAGAAGCCCATTACAATAAAAGGGAGGGAAAGTTTTGGAGAAGTCAACATACGACATTCAAATTACTTTCTTGTTTACTGTCCCAACAGTTGCAAAACATCAAAAATAAAGAGGAAAGCTTAAAATACGCAGTGAACTTCATTATTACACAGAAAAGTCTGATACAATAACCATTCAAATCAATAGAAAATTTCTCACTGGTTCTCATGGGGGCAGGATCCAGCCTAATCAAAGCAAACAGAGCTTCCCAATAACAAGTAGTTAAAAATATGACCCCCCTTTTTTTCTATAAATGTAAGTCCTTTGATGACCAATTATGGATCCAAAGTTACATCCATAATCATTGGGCTGGCAGAAATGATTAGTATGGACTTCAAGCACAGATAAGTCTCACTTTAAAATAGCCTGCTGTAGTATATTACAATATATCCTGAAAGCCACAAATGAGAACGAACAGTACCAAAATATGTAGTAAATTGAAAATACCTTTTTTCCCCCCCTTCAACCCTTTTTAAAGCTCTCATAAATCTTTTAGTAAATAAGTAAAACACAGAGGTACCAAAGAAACTGGCAAACTCAGAGGTAGTTTATGTAACAAATCATCTCTGTCTGCAAGCACGTCTTGCTGCTGCGGGCAGCACTGTGCAGTTCTGGAATCTGAAGCCATGTACGGCTGTCAGGTGCTGTGTCAACCTTCCTGCTCTAGTCCCAGGACCTCCGAGAAAATGCTCGCATAGGACTGTTTGGCCATATCAGCTTATCTGAAAGCAATTCAGGTACTTAGAGGGCAGAACAAAACATGCCCTATACTCCTCACTTTCCCCAAGCATCAACATTCCGTTTGCTTTTTGGCCCCCTGATCATTATGCAGTCAATAGACATGTTGATCTTTCAGTCTTAAGAAAGCTTTCATCTTAATAGTTTTATACTTGGTATATGTAACTAATCTTAGCTTTATGAACATATACGTGCATGTCACATGTACCTGAATACTTTCAGATTGGTATAATTGGAAAGAAAACTGCTACTGCAGTTTGGTTAGGATGCAACATGATCAGAACATTTGATGTAAGCTCTATGTGGTGGAGTGCTCCACTGTGTACAAGAAATCATCCTCTCTTTGAGGCCTTACAACAACAAAAATCTTGTGTCTGCTCAAGGAGTATATTTCTCCTATGTGATCTTACAAAATGATACTGGTCTGTGATGAATTGGTACATTAGAGACAGTGTGCTGAATTAGATAAATTTGATAGTTTGAAGTAGCAGGCAACTCCTGTGATGTTGGCATGTTTGAATAGAATAATAATGCATGTCTTACTATCTCTTCTAAAAAGAAACCAAGAGAAACCCAAATCTAATTACATATTCTCATTAAAGTGCTCTACGCAGACTGCTGGGTATCAGCTGTAGACTTGCAATTCACTGGAGTCTTAGGACAAGATTCTGATAGGCTTTTCTTTCACTTTCCCATGAATGATGTTTCTTCACGTAGTCTTTGGCCCTTGTTACAATTTCTCTTTCCATAATGGGGTCATTCATCAAACTCTTGGACAGCACAACAAACTCCTAAAAAAGATAAAGAAAATAATAAATTTAAGGTTCCTTGAAGTTCTAATGATACTGAAATAGCTTGTACCCGTATCTTGATTTCGGTAAAGCACTTCAACTGTGAGCCAATATATGAAGCTGTTCAAAGTCATTTTTCAAGGTCAAGTACCATAGTTTATTTATAAACAATGATCAATAAATAATTATTTTACTTATATATTATTTTATGCAGCCCACCAACTAAGACATTTAAAATCAAAGACAATCCCGAGACTGTTAGGGCAAATACGGGCAACAAATTTAATAACACAAAAATTGTTTGCCTACCCAACTGTTAGAAAACCAGGCTGGGTATAAATTAAATAATTCACCTGGTTTCCTGCATGGAGGACAGCTGGCATCAGATTGTTTGATCTCAGCTCAGCTAAACATATCTCACTGCTACTGACATCTTTAGTTAATTTTATGGTAAGACTGAAAAACTTACTACATAAATACAGTCACAGTATAAAGATAAGAGCAGGCATGCAGCAACAAGCTCTTCCGGAATAGTTGCATCTGGGCAGTTACAGATACAGCAGCGTTAGCTCAACAAGCTCTGCAAAAAAGTCATATATGAATTTCCTTTAACTTTACTGGGCAAATACTAGACTTTGCAGATTACAACTATTCCTTTTCCTACTCCTCTGCCACTCTAATTTAGTTCTAGGCAAGAGAATTTGTGAACTTCAAACATCTGAAAGGAGATTTGATGTCTGAACTAATCTATTCTGAGCAGCTGGTCTTAATTTTCTATCCAGAGACAACTTCCAATACTTCAGCTTGATTACAAACGTACTCAGATCTTTGCAAAACAGTGTCTTGGTTCAGCTCAGAAAAAGGGATAGCTATTGTGTTGATGGAAAATTAAGATAATACATTACTACACAATTGGTAGTAAAGATCAGTGCATAGGGACATGGGGAACAAAAAGGATGGCAGAAGGAGATATATTATTTACACAATCTGTCAGCTATGAAAGGAAATACCACAAATAAGACCAGAGTTCATATCAACACTAGGTTAACTAGCAAACTATACTTGAAAACCTAAGTACACAGTGTATATAAATACATATACAGATATAAAATCTTTGGTTACCACAGCATCAATGTTGCTGTTGTAACGCAACTGTTGGCTATGCATAATACATAACTATAACGTGACCCCTGGGAAACGCTGATATGTGAAATCACATTGAACATGTTATAATCACTGCTTTGACTCCCACTGACAAGACAAACTATCAATACATGCATCACTGCCATGAAATTCAAATAGTTGGAGATGCACATCAGTTCTGTTGGAAAGGTTTGTAACTACATAATAGAAGAAGATGATTTTCATACATGCATATTAACGATAACCTCTTATTTTACATAAAATCAGTACTGCTTGTAATCTTTGCTCTGCCCACAGCACTGAAAGAGCAGCCTCTGGAGTAGCCATGAGGGCCACACGCTTCGCATCCAGCCTGCTTTCCATCCACAATTACCTTGCATTCAGGTACGTGTTAATTTATCTAGCGTATTCAGCTCCTTACTTGGGACCCATGTGGTCTGAAGAGGGTGTTTTCTGACTGCTTGTGAGACTGTCCCTAAAGAAGATAGGTGAGTCTGATCTAGAGAGTACCCTGAGGCTGCGTCTATCAGACACTGCCGATACAGCCAGTGACTCCAACTTTAGAGACGTGTTCTTTTCCTTCCTCCGTATCTGCCAAGAATACAGAACAGGGAAGGTGGGAAAGTTTTACATGACTTATGCTGGCTTCATCCAATTGCCTGTATAATCACAGTAATAAATACTGTTCACACTGAACTACATTCCAACTTTAATTTTATGCTCCTGTGGAGGATTTTATTTAAAGTAATGTTTAAAAATAATTTATGTAAATTACCTAAGAACAGAAGCAGCAATGTAACATTTCTTGACAGGTTGTCCTATTAGCATTCTTTTAAAATGTGGATATAGAGGACAAAAACTTGGAAACATGTAAATGATAGAAGAAATTATATCCTTATTCACAGTTACAATACTAATGCTGGGGATAATTTCAGGAAAATGCCAAACTGAGTCCAAAGCATAGAAGTTGAGAAACTGCAGGAGGGAGAAATGGCAAATGGAAATGGAGATGGAGAACAAGGACTTCCCAGCTTTATACCTACTTCTTCTACTAATCAAATGTGACCACCTTACAAGTCACTTGCAGTCTGACTGGAAGCCAATAGGAAGATTCACTATGACTTATCTGGGTTTTGCCTCATACTCTTCGAGCAGCCGGCCTAGCTTGCTTTCAGTTTTGGATGCTCAGCTTTAGATAGCAATAACTTCATTTTTCAGGTGCCTCCCTTAACTCCAACTGACTTGCATTTCAGTTGTAGTTTTGTGGAAGTCTGAAGCATGGGCTCCCACTTGCAGACTGCAGACATTCAGAACTCAGAGCTCTTTCAGAAAATTGAGCATTTAATTTTTATTTTCTAAAAGTCCATGATATATAAACTACTTACGGTGTGGCAACATCTCTCTTTATCAGCTGTTATGATGTAAGTATTTGTGCAAGCGATATTTGCACAAATATTTGTGCACTTTCATATTTTGTTATAGATGTGAAGTAAGCTTCACTTTTGGTGAAAGAGGAGCAAAATTCACAAACTACTTTTCAATTATCAAACATAATTATCAAACTTCAGCAGCCAAAATGAAGGAAGTGATATGCATGCTAACTTACTACTTAGGGGGACATCCGTATTTCTAATAAGCCTTTTGTTCACATACAGAAATGGGTATAATTATTATATATGTGACAGAAAAACACAGTGTAAAAGTTGAACCTCAGTAGTTAGCCACAACCCAGAAAAAACAGGGCAGAAGATCATCTTGTGTACATCCAGAACTGATATTACACATGCCCTTTTTATGGGTAGTACTTCACTTCAAACACAGGCATTTTTCAACAGCAACATCCATAATACATTTTTCTCCTGGTAAATTGACCAATCATCTTTAAAGAAAATGTCAGCTTCTCCATATAGTACTTAAAAGAAATTCTGTATAAAATTTTGCAGAGACCCAGAAATACAGGTATCTGGGAGATAAAGCTAGAAAATGAGTGCACTGAGTAAAAAGAATGACTATTCCTTCAATTACCACGAGAACTACACCGGTGCCGCAGCTCACGCATAATGAAAATAGGATGCATGGTTAATATATTATTTATATAATGAAAGTAAGTCTGCAATTAAACCATTTCATACCAGCTTCAGCAGATAAAAGAACATGATTCTTAAACAACAGAGAATCACCCCAGGGAAGGCAAATGCCAGATGTAAATTCAGAATAGTGACAGATCTACCTAGTGGCAGGCAAAGCTCAGGAGTCAGCTGGCACATCTGCGTACTTCACAGGGCAATGGGCCAGTATTTCTAGGGGAGTATAAACAGTGATTGCTGGCACTGCCAAAAATTGCAAATTAGTCTATTCAATGTGAAGGTTCAACGGTCTAAAAACTTCAGCTATATTCTGGCTTGAAGCCCTGGTAGAAATGGCATTGACCCATGTTTGGCAGAGGAGACCAATGTACCTTCAATGTATTGCTGCCTGTCCTCAGCTGAGCTGTGTTTCCCTCTTACCACTTCAAAAGTTGTCCTGCTGACAGTAGTCTTTCCGGGTCCCGCTCTCTCTCAAACTCTGTTTATGCTTGGCCCCTCTCTTACTGGATTTGAAGTTTATTTACCTCCTGTTTATTTAGCTCCTTCTGTGAGCTTTTACAGATGCTGAACATCATAATTTTGAAACTTAGGATGCTGAATAACTCTTTGTGTCTTCCCTTTTAACATGGTTTTGCATTAGTTACTGCCCAAAAACCACTGCTATTCTTATCTCTCACTTATTTTTCTATTTCAGGTCCCATTAACTCAGTGTCAAATATTCCATAAACTTGTAAATTCAAGTAGTGGCAGGATCAAACCATGATTTAAAAGTAATGTGCACCGATGATGTAGTATCAAGGACAAGACGTTTCATAGCTTTTACTTCTACATTAACTGTTTCAATGTGAGTATTGTCTTCAGTGATTGGCACGGCTTTCGCTATTTCCAGTCATGAAGCCTCAGCCTATGTGCAAATGGTTAATGATGACTACAGTTACGCACACAATTTTCTACTTTTCTGTAAGCCACAAAAGCTCACTTTCAGCAAGAATAAAAGAAGAAAACCAATAGCATTCACAATTTAAAATGATTCTCATTGTGTAATGGTCAATTTATATCCCTCTAATCTAGCTTTCAAAAGATAAGATAGCCCACAGACCAGACACAATTGCTCATATCTAAGCTAACCTATTGCAAAGCTTTCCCTCCCCAGATCAGTAACAACTTGAAAATAAGCAATGCTTTCTACTCTTGACCTATGATACAGTCTGTATCTTCACAACCAGATAGGATCCACTAAACTTAGCAATGAAAATTTGACATTTTCTTAAAAATCTTTGGTGGCCCAGATTCTTCAAGACAGAGATGGACTTTCCCAAGCACCTGAATACAATATTAATCTCTCTGTATGATTAAAAGCATTTTCCCTAACTAACCTGCTGCAATTGAGGTTACAGCAGAAAATAGTTTACCAGATATATAAGATGTCAAAGTAATCAGAGTAACAAAAAACCAGAAAACTTCCTTCCAGAATATATGTTTTTTCCCATCCCTGTTGTCAGACTGAATCTTCTAAGGCAGTATTCAAAGCGCCATGGACAGACTATTCCTTCTTCCAATAATAAAAATATGAGGAATACCTTGAAACTGTAAGTGTTCTAACTTAACCACATTTCTTCAATCTAATACAACGCTTAACCTCTGATAGATTGTGTACAGTGGTTTAAAAACTGTATTCGATATGGTCTGGGGAGATAAGGAACAGGAGTAAATGGTTACTTTATCTTTGAAACCATGAGTGACGATGATTGAGCTCATCTCTGTAAGAAAGTTTTTCAACAACTCTGCAGTGGGATTAGAGTATTAGCCTGCAAACAAGTATTTTCCTGACCCATTTGCAAACTTTGATAGTTTATAGTTATTTGACACCAATGAAAGTATAAAAGGGCTTTTATTAAATGAGATGCAATTGCTGTTTTACAGAGAAAGCAGGGATATTGCTTTCCTTTCTAAGATAGGGTAACTGCACAAACATTAGTGATTCCAGTACAAATATCACCTAGGAGTATGATAACTAAGATGGTAATGCAAGTTACCATCTTCACTTAAAAGAGATTCTGCATACTACTGAGAGAATAACAGCAAAAAGGGGGTCAACAAGCAGCAGCAGAATAGGGGGGTTTCTGATCTTTGGCACAGCACGTTGCAGAGAAGGGAGCTCAGGCAGAAGGGGTTTATATAAGATATAAACTAAGATTATAGTGTTCTAGACATATTTCTAGCCATACTTACAGCCTGTGACTCTAGTTCAGATATACAAGAAAGTTCTTAGCCATTTGTACAGTCACTGATGTCACTGGGACTACTTCTGTGCTTAAAACTGCACTTTCCTTTAAGTGAGGAAGTATATAGCATATTTTTAATTGATCTTGAATTCCAAATAAACACTTGGAATGTAGGATGCTTGGAGATCACAGAAGAGGCTTCTTACAAGGATGTATGATGAAGCTAATTGGGTCTGGTATGAATAATGTATTTTAATTCCAAGCCAAGTATAACCGGCATGTTGAGGGAAACAACAGAACGTATCAGAATTAGTATCAGGAGAGCCATCAGTCTGAGTGTTAAACATGATCATATATCCTTGAAGTTCTGAAGGAGCATATGGAAGTCAATGGGCTTTTTGCAGGGAATACATGTACAAATAATTTTACAAATAACTTTACATCTCAGCCTCCACTAGCCTGGAAGTACCCCATTTCCAAGGGATATTGCAAGAAGAGGGAATACTTCCCCAACAAAACAAATTCCAGAAGTTAACAAAGAAATTTTCTTGAGAAACCATTGGAAACGCTGAATATTCCAGAAAAAAAAAAAACAACAACCAAACCATAAGCTGCAAGAATTTTTCTATTTAAATAGCCTCCAAAACTAACAGAGAGAACTCACCTTCCTGAAACACAACTTAATAGGATGCATTAATCACACATTCCACAAAGTAAATAAATATGATACATTTTCTACTTTGCAAAGTTATCAAAAGGACTATTCTGGTAAGGTTTTTTTAATCTTGAGTTGGATAAAAACACTAAGAGAATCTGTGTCTGAAAGTCATCTTCCACAACATATACGAATATGTAACAGCAAAGCCATAATGCAGGAAAATATACTGAAATGAAAATTTCCAGCATTTAAATATGTGTAGTGTTCCCTCTCTCCCCACTCTTGCTTATCTTCACAGAAACTCCATTCTAACACTTTGCTTAATTTTAGTCATTAGTTATTTTCTGACCGAGCAGTATCTTGGACCTTAATACCTAATGTATTAACACTTACTGCTAGAAATTATAGATAATGTATTATCTAAAACTTCAGGCTCATAGTTCTCTTTCGGTTAGCTACTGCTTGTCTAATATGAGTTCATATGTCAGTTAGTACTTGAAGGGAGATACGACATACGCATAGCCTCCCTTCCAGGGTTTGCTTATGGAACCTTCAAAACTAAAGTGCAACAAGTTGATGAGAACCCAGCCCCATTCAGATGGTAGGCTCTAAAGCAGCACAGGCTAGAGAAACATTCAGCAAGGCTGACACCTAGTACAAGTTTAGTGAACTGCAAAGTGAACGTGACAACAGCAGAGATTCAAGAAAGGCAGTCTAACACCTAGAGGTTCAGGAGAATCTGAGAAAAACTGCTGAGAGTAAAAGCCAAGTTTCCAAATAGACATAAGCATATAATGGAAAATCAACCTAACTTTTGGAAGGAAAAGGTTTAACGATTTATTGTTTTCTTACCTGGGGATCTGAAAATAGCAGTCCTGTTTCCTTATGTTTTATTATTGCTGCATTCCCAGGAATGTTCCTTGCCAGCACTGGAATATCTAAATCCATTGCCTAGAGGAATATAGAGAAAGGAAACAACAGCTTATTAGGATTCAGGGATTTTGAGACGTTAATGATGACAATTTTAAAATTAAAAGCAGAAACAACAAACCAAATTTCTTTCCCATCTCTCCAATTTCTTAGTTGAAAAACACCATGTCTAAGGTGATCTCCTACATGGAACTTCTCTGAAATAATTTGTTTTTTGAATCACAGAATCACAGAATGGTTTGGGTTGGAAGAGACCTTTGAAGGTCATCTAATCCAACCCCCCAGCAATGAGCAGGGACGTCTTCAACTAGATCAGGTTGCGCAGAGCCCCGTCCAGCCTGACCTTGAATGTTTCCAGGGATGGGGCATCTACCACCTCTCTGGGCAACCTGTGCCAGTGTTTCACCACCCTCATCGTAACAAATTTCTTACTTAGATCTAGTCTAAATCTATCCTCTTAGTTTAAAACCATTCCCCCTTGTCCTATGTCCTATTTTTGTTAGTCTTGTAGCTTTGAAAATATTATCAGAAGCAATAATCCAGAAAATCAATGGATAGCTGTTTCATCCTTTATTCTTTTCCACCTCAAAGTATGCCATTTGTTTCCCATTGGAAGCTCCTGACATCTGGTAGGCTTGAAGAAGATAAAATTAAGGTTCAGATCAAAGGTTGTCACTGTAACTCCTACCGTTATTGTGCATAAATAAGAACATTAGTTCATAGCACTAAAAGCCAGTTCTCCCCAAGAAAGTATCTGTTGTCCTGTTCCATTAAAAGATACTTTTCACAGATTTTCTACAATGTGCAGAACTGGAGAGAAGTGGGTAGTTCAATGACAGTGAAGGTGACCATGGAAATCACTTTGCTCCTTCTCCTCAGTTCTGATTCCTACTGGTCCTATAAGACTCTGGAAGGAGTTTTTCTTTTGACAGCATCTGTTACGATAGCCTGTCTTGGACTTTGAGCGTTCAGGGAACGCAGGGAAGTGTGCAGTGATGCAGCTTCTGACTGAACTATACCAAGCAGGGGAGAGAAAAGGTTATGCTTTCAGAACACATTATGCTACTGGTATGGGACTCCTCAGAGACCAAGGAATACATCTGAAAAAGTAGGATTTGATTCCACATAAATTATGGGCTGGTTACTTAGTGTATTTATTCATTTGTTTGTATGTATATCTGTGTGTGCATGTATGTATATACATAAAAAAAGAAAAGGAAGTGTGGGGTCTCAACATCATAGCATTTCAGGTTGCCTGCAGAATCAGGAGCAGAGACACAGCACAGCATCTGTTCAAAACTAGTAAATCATTTCCAAGAGGCCTAACACCTGGCAACTTTTTAAAATACAGCTTAGATTTTGAAGTAACTTGTGTGCAAACCCTGGCCACTCAACTCTATCACTCATGCATATCCTGATCTGAAACTTTAATTACTATTGACGAATTTGGAAGTCTTAAGATGCACTGACTGTAAAACCAGAAAAACTCATATTGTACAATTATCACAGTGTCAAACAAGAGAAAGAAATTCACTCCCCCAAATCTTCAATCTGTTGCATACTGATTCCCTGTCACTTCAGAGTGAATGCATTTTTAATTACTGTCATTACATTCCCGGATGGAGAGCAATTTTGCTTCAGTCTACATAGCAAGAAAACAAAACTCCAAGGAGAAAACCATGCTTTTTTATAGTTTGGACAAAACTGAAGACAAAAATACCCTGGCTGATAATGTACAGAACCAATTATGTTTTGAACAGTGAGGGACTGTTGTGACTTAGCAACATGTCTTAATAGCTTAAAATATCTAAGAGAAACACTGTTTAAATCACCACTGCAGATGAATTTACTCTGGACAAAGAAATTCTATAGTCCTTCTGGCATGAACATCTGCTTTGCAGCAGTTAGCTTTAAAAATAATAATAACCCTTAATGAAATAACCTGTTCTACAGTTTGTTCGGAAACTACTGGATCAGCTGGAGGTAATTCAGACAAATAGATTAACGAACTGAACACAAACCAGAGTAAATAAATGAGAAATATAAGAACCACAGACCAGATTTCTGAATTTATCTAAGCGTCTAAAGTTGTTGAGATACAGCTTTTTTTAAAATAAAAAAAGAGTAATTTTGGTGAGAGGAAATACAGGCTTTGGTCATCCACAAATTATTTTGTCATTTGCTCTGACTTCGCTGTTAAAAAAAAAAAAAAAAAAAAATCTGTTTTCCAAAGGTAGATTTACAAAATCGTATGATCATAGTATCTACTTATCAGTATAGCAAAGTTCATAGAACTTCAAAGTTCACCCAGGAAACGAGAGATACTGGTGCCCCACTCTGCCTGACAGGTTTTGAATCCGCAGGTCGAGGAAGTTGCTTTTGGCTCTGATTACCAACTACAGACCTAACACGGGGTTTCCACAGAGGCACCAACATCTGAAAGAGACAGAATTTCTGATTCAGCAATTTTTCAGCCCTTCCTATTGACAGGCTTAAAAGCCTTTATGTTCAGTCTGCTGGCTGTTGATCTTGTTCAAACATGTTCAATGAGCAGGGAATGAAGATACTTTACTTGAACTTCTGAACTGAAAATCAAGAGCTTGATAGTGGCAGTGAAGTGTGTCAGTGTTCCTTGTCACCTGCCTAAGGCCCTCTCCTCACCTCTCCGTATTTCTCCTTTTAAAAAACAAAACTGTGAGAGTATTTCAGGTCTGGCTACTTTCCAAACAAGTGATTGTCCATTCAAGGGAAAGAGCACCATTAAAAAAAAAGAAAGAAAGAATGAAAGAAGAAAACACACAAAATACAGCACAACCAGCCCAGGACTGATGGTTGGAAGTGCCGCTATCCCCACAATAGTTACCTGCAAGACAGAGAAGTTTGGAGTTGAGCATGTCAGATGCGGTGAATAGTGGCCACTGTCCATTGGGCTGCACGTCGATAGTGATCATCAAGTATGTGAGTGTCCTGTGGCAGTTCAGTGTTGGGCTGTACCTAATGTGTGTGTGATTGCTTAGGCCAGCACAGTATTGCTGTACTGCGGTTTAGATTGAACTGCATACCAATGAATTATAGCTACTGAAAGACAGAACAGATGGCCAAATACATAAGATAAGGGGCTGGCTTTATACCAGCTAGCCTTAAACAAATGGATTGGGCTGTAAATAATTACTGCATGAAGTGGCTTAGAATTTAATTTAGATACTTAGTCTATTTTTAAGCAGTAAAAAGAATCATTTGTATTGTTGAAAATATGTATAATTTACTGACCTAGGTTCCACAAATAATAGCATAAAATAACATTTTAGTCCATTGGCCATCTGTTTTGTTACATTACTCTGACTGCAAATGTGTTTTAATGCTATTTCAGAAGGATGCAGGGTGTAAATTTCAGCTTTGGAAGCATGTTACACAATAAGCATTTCTAACCAGCAGTGTAAGGCTTATAGAGTAAATACAGGTTTTATTTACTATTTTGTCTTCTGGATTGTCCCTCATTTTCCTTCTCCTAGCCTGTGCATGTTTCTGTTGGCCCCTCTTCAATTTTACTGCTCAACAACATCCGTTTATTTTTATACTTTGCTATGGCTTATATTCCAAATTACTAGGCCTGTACTTCACGTTGTCTAAGACTGGATTTTGCCCTACAGCAGAATAGAATCTGGCCATCTTCCTTTTCTATGATGATTTTTTTTTAATTGGTTTTTTTTGGTAAAAGCATAACAATCTAATGATTTTTACAACAGTTGGAATACTCTCAAGAGTACAGAAGTACTCTGAAGAAATGGTGCTGGAGTCAAAACCTTTTTTTTACCAACTACATAGAGAACATATAAAATTTTCCAGTAGTCGCGCCTCTTTCACCATCACATGCCCAGGAACATGCAGAACTCCTGAGCTTTCTGAGGAAGAGATGTATTTTAAACACTTGCTATAATGCTTGTTTTCTCTTCTTCAAATGCCAAACAAAAAAAGAGATCAGTTAGGCAAAATCTCTAAGATATCTGTACTAGATGACAAAGTAAGTAATTATGGTTTCTAGTTCTTTCATACCTTAAAGCAGGTTGAAATAGATATGATTATATATTTATCTCATTTATCTATTATATATTTATCTTATACTAAAATACTGTTTACAGATTCATGACCTTGTTAAATTTTGAACTTTCAAGAGAATGAAAGTTGCATTTCCAAATTCAAGCAAGATGTTATCTCCAGCCTAGGACCAAAAGGTTTTTATACATAGTTTTCTGCCTTATTAATTTAACAAGATCTTAACAGATGGCCCTTCCTACTGCTGGCCATCTCAAGCAGGGACATGACTTTATTAGATTGACACTTCCTCTGAGAGAGAGATTTTTACAGTAGCATATTTTATAAGATGTCATCAAATCCCACTGTACAACTGTCTAGTAAACAGACATAGAATACCAAAACCCTTATAACTTTAGAAGAATTCAAACAGGTCTGAGGTATTAAAAAGGGCAAGCTTCAGACAGTTTCTCAAGAGATAACTAAAGACCTAATTCTGCTTGTAGAAAATCCTGACTCAGCTGGGACCAGAGCTGTTGTCTCACAACACCTGTGCCATGTCTATTGGACTTTCCTTCCTATAATGCAAGATTTCAGTTTGCACCTGTAATTGGTAACTCATTTGCTTGTAACCAACATGCACCTGAACTAGCATGCTCAGGCTTCTGAAAGCATGTCAGCTCTTTTTATCCCTGTTACGTGACTTCCATGATAAACTCCAAGTTATGAGTTACCTGTTCAAAGATCAGGCTGTTCTTCCTCCACTATTCAACAACAAGGCAATATAGGACTGAGGCTGGTGGAAAGAAGTGGGTTACACCTATGGTTATAGATTTTCCAGGAGGAAATATTCCACTTCAGAATATTTGAAATTGCATTTTATCTTCAACACGTGATTATGCATGAACACAAAACAAACCTGACTATTAGGTTTGACATTATTCCACCAATGTAATAATAGAAGAAAGGAGAGCAGGATATTTTTCTCTTCTTTTTATGAAAAAGTTATCATGTACAAGGAAATAGCTAACAGCCTACTATAGATCAAATCTTGCACTTAGAAGAGAGAATTTAATTTTTGCACTGTGGTCAATTGCCAGTTTATTTTAGCATGTTTAGCTGTTAAACTCAGATTAAAAGTAGATTAGATGTTGATTAACTTTGTTTTTAGTAAAGGTAGTGTCTTCAATAGAATGAAATGTAATCGTAAGACTAGCCTAGGACATGATATGCACAGTTACATGTAAGATAAAAAAGTAATACTAACTAATCTACTATATATGCATAAAAATACATATATATAAAAATAAATTCAACATGAAAAATTAAAATGAATACTTCTTGATGATTCATCCTAATATAATCTTTTCTGATGTGAGAAAAACATCAAAATGGAGGAAGCTAATGTTGCAAGAGTATATAAAGGCATCCTGCATAGAATGCTCTTTTGCCAGAATAGTCTTGTAATTCTTAGAGAAAGAAGAGAAATATCACAGGAAGTATTTACTATTCTGTTCGTGTAGTAATTTTCAGTGAGAAGAACAGTTGTTGTAGGGGGTCCTTTTTTTTTTTTTTTTTTTTTTTTTTTTTGACAGGCTTGGGTATGAATTGGGAATAAATTACTCAACATAACTGTGTAGTGGAAACTTAAAGGAACAGCTTTCCACTAGAGGTGGTATTTGACTATTTAATATCCCTGATGGGATAATTGAATAGTTCAGCCACATAGAGAAGAGCTCAAATAAAAACTTTCCTTGTTGATTTAGTCTTATCAGACTCAAAACTTGTCAGAATTGCAACTTCAAAAGAGGAGAGCAAAAATCAGTAATTCCTGAAGCAGGCTCAACATTACTTCTGAAGTAAACCGGCATTATCTTTTTGCTTTGAGTTACCACGTATTTGTTAAGACACAAAACTTACAAGATTGCTTCCTCTCTTGATAAAAGCTAAGCAAAGTGCCTTTTAACTGCTCAAAGCTGATGGGAAAATTTTGGGGAAAACTATACCAATTGTCCTGTCAGTCCTGAGTTTGCATAACAATTTGTATCAGGCCAAGCACACTTCCACTTCTGTTGCAGATGCTGTGTCTCTCAACAGTCTTTCTGGTTTGCTTTTTTCCCTCCCCTTTTTCCCCCCTTTCTAACTCACTGACACTCTCAGGAAATAAATGAGATGATTGTTTTTTGGTCAACTATTATGTGAGTAGTCCTGAAGGGAACATGTAACTGGTGAGGAGGAGGTGACAGTTACTTAACTTTTACTTCTCTGAGTCAGTGACTTAGTTGTGGCTGTGTACTGTGTTGGTATACTCCATTTCATCTCAACTACTGAACATACAAAATTTGTCTAGCCTGCAACACTGATAACTTGGAAATGTCACAGTCTGTAGTAATCGTTGTTTATAGAGTATTGTTGCTGTGAAACAGCATCTGCTTCCACCTCTGAGCATTGGCATTTTAGAAAGGAAATACACATTTGCTATCTTACCACCACCTAACTTTCGTAATTCCTACAATGCTCCCTTAGTTCTTACTTATGAAGATGCTCCCTTAGTTCTTACTTATGAAGGACTTTCAGATGTGTGGAAGAAAAGCATGCTGAAAATGCAACATGTGATTACTCATTAGAAACAGAAACAGGAGATTCACTAATACAAATCATGTAGTAGTTTCTGTGATCTGAGGTCATCAGGAACCAACATTCAGCAGTCACCAAAAAAAATGGAATAGTAAAAGGCGTCTGCCCAAAGAACTTCCACTTTAAACACATTTTTTTTTTCCCTAGAAAGCATCTGATACTAACCAGTGCCCTACTTTGACAGGTATGAAATAAACCTGGTTATTAATTTTCAATACTGATGGCAAAAAAATTAACTGAGCGTGTCATTCATTCATTAATCATTTCAGAATTAAATAACCAAATACAGCTCTTAGATTGCTTTTTGAAAGGATGTAAAAATAAATGAAAGTCTATTCTAGCAACATTATAAGGAAGTGGATGTTGAATCAAGAATAGTGACAACCCCAGTAAATCAAAATGATTCTTATATCTCAGGTCTGTATTGTTAATTTAAGAGGATTGATAAAATTACATTCTGTCCTTTAAAAAATAAATAGACAAGGCATAAAAAAATGTCAGTTCAAGGGAAGAAAACCTTAATTACTAACACTTGCAAAAAGAAATATTTTAGTTTTGTCTTCACTAGCTTTGAAACATGGACATAAAAAGTTGACACACATTTCCAGTGATAAAAGGCGATTTCAGATTCACTGTAACCTCACTGAAAAATATTACTGCTAAGATGCAATTACCTCCAGAATTGCAGCAGACATCCCCTCTGAAATGGAGCTGTTCACCACAGCAAAGCACCTTTTCATAGCAGCATGAAGATCATCTTGTGGTATCTCCTGTAATAAATGTACTCCAGGTGCCCTAGAAATAAAATGCACACAAGTAGGACACCTCCTAAGAACATGCTCTAACAATTCTTCCTAAAACTTAGGGCAATGATGGAAGGTGGTCAGAGCAATTCAGGCATGGTTCTGACGCTAACAATCATTCGCCCATGAGCAAGCCACTTTACCATGTTTTCATTCGCTTTCTATCTGTAAATGTGGTTATAAACTCAGTACAGTATACATCGCTATATGCCACTTCATTGTCTGTTGTTCTGAAGTTTTATAGTTGATCACTTAACATCATGCTCTGTTAACCACAATCAGTCTCATAAATGAAGGAGCTGAGTTCAATGGAGAGGGGTGCAATTTTCCCTTGAAGAATTTGTGTAATACAGGGAGGATGCATGCAGATTTATGAAAAACACACAGTTTAAATACTTAGGGAAATGGAGCGCAATCATCAGAATGGTCAACTGCAGGAGATGCTGACTTTTCAGATGCTGGCTTTTGGGGATGGAATGTGGTTCTGAAAGATCTCTTCTGCTTCCTCTTTTATTATAAGCACTCTTCTGTTCTGAAGGGTTACCTTTCTACTGTCCTCATCTTCCTCAGATTAATGAAGGTCAATCAAATCAAGGGTGAAGGGTGGAAAAATAGGGTAGTTAGGCGCTCAGTCTCAGATGAAGTGAATGAGATCTTTAAGACTCGTGATCATTTTTGAAAAGCCAGCATCTCCTCCACTTGATGAGCCTGCTCCTGCCTCTTTAACCTCAACAGGAGATCACTAAGCCAGACAGAAACACAAGTGCATTTGACATTAAGACCAGCTCCCTGTCAACTAGACTTTGTTAAACTTTGCTTTTCTGATTGTGCAATAACATCCAGCTTCTGTAGAGATACATAACAATATCAACTGGAGTATAAATGCATGATGACAGGAGTCATGTTTCCCGTGAATAACCTGATAGAAAACAAAAAACATTATCTCTTGCTCCAAAAATGGAATTGCAAACCACATATTTTACGCAGATTTTATTATCAGATATTATCAATCAGAGATAATATGGTTGTTCTGTTCAAGTCAGACAATTCTAGGTTCTGCAGACACAAAAAAAATCTCGTTTCTCTAACATTTATATCCTTCAATCAGGAAGCATATAAACTAGGGACAGAAAAAAGCTATACAGGGTTATCTGGTCCATCTACTCATTTACCCACAAACAGCAAGCATGCAAAATCTTGCAGAAGCCAGGGTGAAAGAAAGCATTAAAAGATCCAAAAGAATAATAAATATAAATCACACTAAATCAGATGTGATTTAACACAAAACATGAAGAGATCTACTGGTTATTCTAAAATTTAAGATGTGTAGAATACCCAGTCTGAGAATGTTACATGCCAAACAATCAGTACACATTTGTTAGTCATATAGAGAGTTGTGCATGTATGTTCATTTGTATATACAAAAGAGCATTTACACACATGATTTAAAAAGCTAGTCAGCCAGCTGCTTTCACTTGGAGCAGATAAAAGGCTTAACATTAACTTCTTACCTTTTAACTTTTTCCATAACTTCACTTGTAATAAGTGGATCAACCTAGAAACAAATATACATACTTATATGGCGCTACTTTAGCACTATAGCATGTGTTTGAAATACTCAGAAAAGAAAAATAAATTTTAGCATATTTTTTACTAGAATATTTAAATGCATGAATATGCTGAGCTTTAAAATCATACCACAGATCTGTAACTTGGTAGTTACATTTGACTCTTCAGACAAACACTCTCATGAGTGACAGACACTTAGAATATCCAGCTAGGACGGTGAGTGCACAGTATAGCGGAGCGTGAATTGACTACTCCACTCTAAACCTTTAAGTGACTACTCTAATGCAGCTTTGGGCTACTGTCAGAAGGGGAAGTTCCATTTCTTCCCCCCTGACATCCCTCTGGCTGCAAGTTCTAATTAAAGCTAGATCTATTTAACATGAATGACTGTTTTCAGATGACTCTGCTAAGGCTAACATGATTCAAATGACCGATTTGACAACTTGCTGTCTAAGTGAGGAACAATGCACTGACATGCCAAGCAATTGTCTGTCCCTTTACGTATGGAGTAACCAACGTGAGGAAGAAAAGTTCACAAGCAATCCGCATGTAAACTGAGATATCAGAGCTAGATGTTACGCACTGACTGAAACATTTGTCTGAAAACTAATAAACACAAAATTCTAAAATATAGTCTAACATGAAGGCTTGAGTTATTAAAAAGTTGCCTAAGCTGGGTAATTAACTCCAGCAGGTTTATTTACAAAGCTTAACTATGTCTGCTATTTTCACTTAACATGATTAAAAGAAATAAACAGAACTTGGAAATCCTTAACTAGACATGAAGAACAGAACTAGACTTTTTTTATTAAGGCTGACTGACTACATTACATTAATTTATGATAGCTTGCACAGCATGCAGCAGTTGTAAGTACTGGGAACAACATGGCTTTTTTTTTTAATGCATGTTAATATTTTGGTTTTGGGTTTTTTTTTCACATTATGAGATAGAGAACACTCACAAAGCATTTTAGAAAACTCTTTTGGAAAAAAGTCAGAATTTATTTTGTAACTATGATTGTGTACTTTGAACACAAGATTAATTATTTCATGAAAACAGGGCTTCATAAATTAAAAGATTCAAGTGAATCACTCTTGCACTAAGGAATGAATTCCTACTGAATGCAAGAAATAAACTGCATAACTGGCGTTGGACTAGATGGCCTTTAAAGGTCCCTTCCAACCCAAACTGTTCTATGATTCTATGATAACTGCTTAAGAAAGTATTTTTGGTAATAGCAGGGGGGGAAATCAAGTGCCCTTTCCTGAAGCACTACCTGATCCTATCGACAGAGTATGATAGAGATCCATACACTAAACCACTATGCCATGTCACAGGTTCCTTGGATATTTCATACTGAACTTCACAATTGCTATTTCTACATAAATATCTTTTCAGCTTTTTCCCCAAAGTACTATTTTGATGCTGAGTTCCTCTCATGAGGAACTATACTCCGTTTCCATTAAAATCAATGGAGTCCTTACAAGTGATGTAATGAACAGCGGGATATGGTCTTTTGCTCTTCTACCTTTAGAAGGATGAGAAAAACTACAGCCTGTGACTCACAAAATTTGTAAGATATCAATTTCTATCCCATCTACTTCTGTGGAAGCCAAGAAATTGCCATCTGCCTCATAAACAGAACAATCCTTTAAGCTGTATTCTTCTATTGGTAGCTATTCCAAGAAGCCTGGCCTGAATATGAGAATTCAGTTAAAATATTACTTTCAGGCTGGGTGTAGCAATGACTTAGAGAAGTGATCCCCCTGAGCTACATTTAGGAACTTGAGGGGGCACAGTTATCTAACCACTAGCTCAATATAACAGAAATTAGATACAACATAAGCTGTTCAGTAAGTTGGAAATGCACTTAAAAGACGTGAATGCTTCCAAAGCCAACTGACTATGGCAGGATGCCTAGCAACTGAGCACAGTCTCAGAAAAAGCTACTGAAAAGAAAAGTAAGTTACTTCCACCCAAAATGTCTCCATGATCCAGTTCTTCCACAGGTAGAGTGTTTGTTGCCACATTTTATTTTTTCACCTATCAACATAGCAGGCAAATATGATCATCAGTTACCTATCATCTTTTGTTAAAAAATCATCCATCTAGAGGAAGAGCCTTCAGAGAGCTGCACATTTCATCAATTTAGCAGAGATCAGAGGAAGGCAGCTTGCGTAGTATGGATAGCTTCTATCAGAACAGATGAGATAAGATGACACATGGGAAGGGGAGTGGGCACATCGCAAGAAACCACACCTAAAGGACCAGATACGCTATTCAGGAAGTTCTACTCTGCTGACGGGCAAAGAAACATCTGAGACATGTTCGACGGTGCAGAAAGTCACAGATCAAACGCTGCACAAAGATGAAGGTGCCTGTTAAGCACAGGGCCTACTATGATCAAAATCTAGGAAATCTTCCATAAACACACTATACTAAATTGCTGTTATATAAAAATTGACTCAGACAGAAGCAATGGTCCAGAAACATTTTCATTATAATGCTGCAACTACTGTGGCCGCCTAGACTTGGTAGGGAAAAACAGGTCTTAGTACATTTAAAGTTCTGTCAGAATACCACCCAGAGTACTAAAGAATGAAAAGCTCTATCTGCATGCATATTCAATTCGGATAGGAAGAATTTGCTCAATTGCTCAAGTTTGTGAGGTTTTGGCAGCATCACTGTAAAAGGAAGCAGCTTTATTCATGGCAGCAGGTGACCCCACATTACAATTTTTAACTGATCGATTGTTGAATAGGCTCAGCAAGACTGAGCTTCCCCTACAACTGAAAACTGTTGTCTGCAATGCCACACAATTTGCCTGCAGCAAACGCACCAGAAATACAAGATCCTTGCGAACATACTAAACTCGGCCATTCTATTTCATCTTTTCTATATTCTAAATGCTTAAGGAAATTCAGTGTCTTCTGGCTTAACCTGCAGCTCTACTACTGCGATTTGGGACAATTAACAATTTGTAAAAAATACAGTTTTAATTCAGCTGAAACAATTTGGCAACTAGGATCAAATTAGCAAAACTTCAGGCCTAAAAACAAATATAGAACCTTTTTAAGAAATATTGGAACAGCTCATTTCAACATTTCTAACAAAAGTTTCATTTTCAGGGAGTTTTTCTTGAAGAACAAGCAAACAAAGGTTTAGAAGAGTTGTCAGCTTAATGGTAGCAGTAGCTCTTAGCTTTTAAAAAATATTTCACTGAGTAGGACACTTATTCAGGATGAAGCTGGCAGAATTTCATATTCCTCAGCAGGCTAAAGAATTTGAAATTGTATCTGTCTCTCCTATCGGATGTTCCTAATTATTGTGCTCTAGGATATTCTGGAGCAGGTTATTAGACTTCCTCTAGTTGCTTAGTTTAGTTGTGCCAACAGCTGTTTCATTTTAGAACTAGCCCAGAAAACATACAGTAGGTAACAACCATCATTATAAATAGATGGGCAACCTGACCCGATAGGTCTCTCCATCTGTGGAGGCAGATATTCAACTAAAACTGCCTCAATAGGCATGGAAAGAAGTTGGACAGATGGAAAATAGCTGTCAATGAAAAACAGTATCATTACAAACGCAGCAATATTCTGTACTGTCTACAAGAACGGTTAAGAATTACGCAGAGAGTACAAAGTGGGCTTCAATAGCTGGACACAAGTTTTGCAGCCTTTTTTCAAGTTTCATAAGCTTCTATTCTTGGAATACAGAGCTGCTGAAAATCAGCTATTGTTTCAAATTTCATTACAGAAAAGAACAAAAGGAAAACCGGAAGAGGAGATAAATGTTAAAAAATTTACATTATAAGGACCCAATCCTGCAACATTACTTAGGTTGCACCATTTGAGACAATCATGCATAGCAAATGTAAGGAAAAGGTTATAATCTTATGGAAGCAAAGCAGAAACGAGCGTGTGGGCCTTTTGTTCTTTATATTCTTAATTAATATAATCTTAATGGGCTTTTTAAAAATATTCACAATAAACATGACTTGCTTCACAGATAATGGCACTGATTTTGTTAGGATTTTGTGGTTTGAGAAGTAACATGAATAGGAAAAGTAGAGCTAAATACCAATAGAACTGAGATTTATTTTCACCCTTTAGCTGAGATTTATTTTCATCCATATTTTAGTACTATGGGAGAAATATGTTTTTAAATGTTTTAAGAAGGTTCAGTCCTTGATCCCACCTATGCACTGCCACAGGGCTATTTCTGGTAGCTTACTGTAAAGATGTTAGCTTATGAAAAAGTGAAGCAAATTTAAAAAGATGACTAAAATGTTTAAAATCCTCACTGGAGGCAGCAAGCGCATCTTTTGATTCTAAAGCACAGCTTCATTACACCTGCTCTGGATTTGCCTTCCACACCAGTTCACTTCCAAATCATTTTGTGTATTAGCATGGGAAAAAACACAGATAAAATAAAAATGTAAAAACAGCTTTTAAAAATAAAATTCTATGTCACAAAATTTACAAAGAACAAAACTGAAGAGAAAATATAAAAATAGTTCTTGTTTGCCCATTCAGATTTTATTTATTTTCCTATAGAACAGACTGCCTGCAAGTTTTCAGGTTCATGTGAAGATGAATCAGAGATGAGACTTATAGAGAGACACGAACACATTACCCAGATGAAACAGTGAAGCTTTTAGTACCCTTTCAGCATCAGCACGAGTTTGTTTCAGCTGCCTACTCACACCTTTTCCACTGGTTAGATTAAGACTATGGGCTGCCTTTTCAAGACTTCTGCTGCTACGGATATACATGTTGCACAACTGATTTCTTTCTCAAAAGTCCTGCAATTAGTTTTGTTAGTTTAGCGTAAAGCATGTTCCTTTGACACAGGCAACAGACAAGAAGCAGAAGCAGCAGAACAGTCTCCCTGCAGCTCTACCTGGTCCCTGTGCAGGGCTGTGGGAAGCTGTGGGAATGAACTTCATTTTGCACAGAATTAGGAGAAGCACTTCGGTGCCTCAGAGGCATCTTTCCCCCTCTCCCTCACCAACTTACAGTGCAGTCGCTACTGTTGAGGATCTGACCCACAGCAAATACCGTGCTAGCAAATATTTAGGTAGGGTATTGGTTAGACTGCAATTTGGGAAATACTCATCTTTCTCTCATGGTTCTGAAAATAACCATGCATTTTGCACTTTTTCAGCACTGTACTTGACAGAAATCATAAAAACATTTACATGTTCATGGATGGTTCCTTTTCTGCAGGTGAAATCAGACAGATCTCAAAGTGGAAATAACTGGAAACAATGGTGGATACTCAAACACCAAGTTTTAAGAGACCATTAGAAAAGAAAGGACTGGCAGAAAATTTATGCAGCCCTTCACTCCCTTTTAAGCATTCAGAACAGATTCAGACTTGGCTGAAGTGGTGCATGCTTCCTTCTTCAGAGAAGCTCAGTCTTGTTACTTCCTCAAAAATCATGCTACTTGATTTAAAAATGATGGGGTGGAGTTGGGAAGGTTCAATAGTTTTTCTTGTTTATCTTCATGCTTCATAAGCCCAAATTTTCAAACCTTTCTCCACAACTAGAAGAAGATTATTTCATAATAAGGACTGTGGTAGTTTTGATTTTAAACTGTTTCAGGAGCTGGTGCTTCATGAAAAGCAAACCATTGCTGAGAAACTCATGACAACATTTTGAGATGGCAACCCAACTTTTACGTTTTACCTAAAGAGAGCTAGCAATCACAGAAGAGCTGCCATTTAACTGATTGACCCAGTTGTGAAAAGAGAGAATTAGAAGTTGTAACTTCCAAATTTGTTAGACAGGATCTTTATGACTTAGGGGTAAAAAATGAAATCTCACATTAATATTGGCCAGCACTTTTACTAAAATACATATAATTCATTTGGAAGGAATGATACCAACTCCAAGCTTAATCTGAGATGTGGACATATAAGAACAACTCAGTTTCTGAGTTAATTTATTTCATTCAGCCCCACCTTCCCTCTCAGATATCTGTATCCCAGGCTTTAGTGCACTCAGATTCTAAATGTGAAACAGACTTCACCAATTTTATTTGTCAGCTCAAGCTCTGTCCTTGCTGTCTGGTGTCAGACAGAAACCTAACATCATTTTGCACCTGCTGACAACTGTTAATTGTGTACGAATTGAGACTACCAGAAATGGCAGCAAAATCTAAATGGAATGGAACAAAGACGCAATCCTCCACGTGAACAGAAGATGTAAGAACAGGGATAATAAGCATCTGATATCACCTTCACAGTATTAAAAATCCTCATTAACAATACCTGCTAAAAAAATTCTTCTAGATGGCAACTGCTGCCTTTCAAAATATTTGATAGGTTCATTTGTAAATTATTCATATTGAAATGGGCATTTCTAATATTTTATTTGCAAGAGTTCACATTTTTAGTACTTTCTGATTCTCTAAAAAAATTTATACTATCCCACAGGAATAAAAACAGAAGCCAATATTAAAACCCAAATATTCTGATACTTTTTATCTGCAGAAGTTGCTTCTGTAGTCAAATGAAACATTAAATGTTTTGTTCTAAAAGACCATAATAGATTAATAGCATTATCAAGTCATGTGCTTGAGCTAGACATAAAATTATAGTAATCCAGCTGGAAATGCCCATTGTAAAACTAGCCCAAGTCTTCTAAACAAAAAAAATCTGTATATGTAAAACAAATCTACAGCTGCTGTAAACTATTTTAATGTAATTGATAACAGTTTGCATTAGTAAAAATCTAACTTAATAGAGTTGGGCTATCTCAGTGCATATCCTCTTAGAAAAACCCTCTCAGCTGCTTTCCCTCTTGCAATGCAAAAGCCGAGCACATGCTGAGTGAGGAGGCCTTTTAGCTGATAGCAGAACTCTGAACTTTGGAAGTCCTGAGCACTGGAATTGCTTCCACAGTTTAGACGTGTTGTGAACAGCCTTTACAATGCTAGGTTTGTACCTTCTTATCTCTGTAACAGTTAGAAGTCCTCTGACACAGATTCAGTTTGGAAAGAATTATTACAATATTCAGATGCGAGTAAATGGAAGTATTTAGGAATAAACACACAAATCAAATAAAAATCACAACAACAACTTACTGCAGGTCCAATTATGCCCAGATGGACACTGGGATCCTTTCTGTGCCAATCTAAAACAGAAGAGCAAGATCTTTTTTATTAATCAAAATTATTAATTTTTAATTTAATTTAATTCTTTCTCTGAAATCAATGTAAATAGCTGCATGAATAAAGAAGGATTAGGCAAATATTGTATTACAACTTAAAAGACTGAATGTATACCAGATTTCATGCTCAGCCCTCACATTACTCCTCAGAATTCAAATGATTAGCATATCTGAAAGTTAGTATTTAGCATTCTGCTTCATGCAATCTCTTATGATTCAAGGGTTATTTAATTAAGCTCAGGTACTACTTTTGAATCATCTCAAGAAAACAATGCTCTATATAATGCAGTGACTGTGGCCACTAAGACAAAATTTTTTAAATTTTTTCCTATGTAAAGGAACATGTGGAAGCAACTGCAACCGTTACAATTAATACTCAGTTAAATGCACAAGAGAAATCTGCTGCTCTTTCAATACTAGAATAGAACAAAACCAGTTACTTGACTTTAATAAACTACATTTGTTACTAAGCATCACAAGGTGGTAAAGACCTATAAAAGTAAGCTGAGTAGTGGAGGCTAAATTTCCAACCTGGAACACCTGAACCTTTTACAGACCTAAACAGAACCTGGCAAAACACTCACCTATGTGACTACGAGAAAAATTCAGCCTAGTTTACAGTGTTGAGCCATAACGATGGGTGGTAAAATTTGCTTGTAACTTCAATGATATTAATTAGCACACATGCAAATCAGTGTAACAGCCACAGGACAGTAAGATAAAAAAGTTATGTTGAAGTAGGTGACCTCTTCTTTTGTGTTCCATTAATATTGTATATAACAGCAAAATAGTTTTCCCAGCGAGTAAAATCATCAAATATTGCTTTGATTTTAATGCTCTGTTATTCCCAGCAGGCTGGAAAAGACGCAGTACAGAAATAATGTGTTGAACAGATCAATTCTGTTACATGAGCATTTCTTTTTTTAAATCTAAATATGTTATGAAGTTTTCTGCAATGAATAAAACAGCTTATGCCAAACTTAGAAACATTAAAAGAGATGCATCGGCATCCAGGGACAAAACAAGGGTATTCAAATAGCAGGTACCTACCTGAAAATACATCTACTAAATACAGAGGGTCTTTGACTCTTCGAAGTCCGCATATCAGAAGAAACATATGTAAACTGCCTGTATCTGTAGGAATGTCTGTAACAAATAATTTTAAAAGTTTGAATGCAGATAAAGCTGAACACTCCAAATTGTTTCATGAATGAGCACATAAAGTGGTAAAAGCAGTAATAGCGTGGATTCTGAAAAATTCCCATTATTGTTCCCTCTATTTCTTGCTCTCGCATCAACCCTCAAATCAACTCAGTGGAGAACTTAATCATGCACATCATTTTATAGGGCACAGGAGTTTATTTCCAGAGGCAGTGAATGTGCAGGATTTGGAGAAATGGCCAGTGGCTGATATTTTTGAACACCAGAACCCAGCTTTGACTGACAAGGCAACTGTACAAATCAGTGTGTTTCTCAATTTTTCTATCCATAAGAAGAAAAAAATTGCATCCATATAATAACACCTGTTTCAAGGATATTGTGAGGTTTAGTTAATCAAAGGCTGTAGGGATTACAGCTCTTGATCTGACACCTTTTGTTATAAAAGATCAGGTAAATGTCCCATAGTTATTTACCCCTAATACTCCAGCACTGCTACAGAATAATTAACTAGAAGTTAAATTATTGCAAAGCATTTGTTTTAACCTTATTGCTAAGAAACACAAGTGAAAAATAATTTGGGAAAAAATCTCAACATGGGAGTTTTTAACATTGAAAATCTCTCTCGCAAATACACAGCAACAACTCATAAAAAATAATTTTGTAGGCTATATTAGAAAAAGAAGGTCTGATGTATGATATTGCAGTTGCCATTGGCTCTATAACAGCAGAATTAATTCAGAACATACTTCTGAAGAAGGGCCACTATGTGATGAACTTTAGTAAAATGTGTTTATGATAAAACAACATAATTCACAAATTGCTGAATGAACACACATAACAACAACATAATTTAATAAACACCAGAGGGGTTGAAATGTTCATGTTTGATTTACCGTACTGAACAAATCAGTTCGCTGTCCTTCAGTTCATGTATTTATTGAGCAAGGATGGATGATGTATTATCTAACACTAGGCAGTTCAACAAGGAGCATCAAACTGCTGCTCTTCAGCAGCAGGCTGTTTGTGGGACATTAATGCATGGGTCCCATGCCAGGGCTATGTCACGTAGCCACCAGAAGGGCTATGCTGCATGGTCAGAATGGCTGTCTGTGGGATTTATGATTAACAGAGGAAGGCAGCAGGACAGTTGTGGTGGCACGGTGATCTGCTGCTGCTGAACACTGCAGAGCTCCCTTCTCTGAGGCCTCCTGCTCCTCCCTTTCCCTTCCACTCTCCACCAGTTGCAGGAACAACTCAGCTGCTTATACAGCACCACTGAATTGCTGCAATCTGTAATTTAAGATCACTCAAACTTGGTACCGGCTTGTGTTTCCTCACAGTGTTGTATAACTTAACTGCAGGGTCTGCTCCAGGCCCTGGAAGAAATATGCCAGGAATTCTCCCTTCATGTCAAGGAACTGGGTTAACATGAGCTCTGCATCAAACCTCTGTTCTGGGGGAGGGGGAGAATCAAGAGAGTGGCGATTCACAACATACTCAAGTGCTATTGCTTTTAAAATAAAAACTCAATTCAGGGCCTTTTAAATGCTCCCTGTCACAGGGTTCATTATTGAGTCTGTTTCATTTAATTTAAACAGCTTGAGTTGTCAAGAGTGGCTGCAGCAGACATGGTAAGCAATATTTTACTGGTTATTGGACCAAGCAATAATTTGTAATTTATAATACACAAACATTTGGATGGAAAAAGCCATTCTTCTGGTGCAATGGGCCATTAATACTGTTTGGTTTTAAGACATGCAGCAGTGGTTTCAATTCATGACATAAACTCACACAAAACAAATTACTAGAAAGTGTCAGCAAAATTCAGATTGCATTTTAACTATCCATATGGCACAAATATTAATTTTAAATTATGAACTTCCACCTATTGATGTTCAGCTCTGGCTATTTTGGAATAAACTCAAAGTTAGCACTGAAAGCTCAGTCAGAGAGTGGTGAGAAACCAGGTCTTCCTGTTCTCACGTAGAGACTATAGAATTATTGCACTCTTGATGTGACAGTACACTAATCAACTTTAACTATGCTTGAAATAACTGCTTCTTTTTAGCTCTTAACATCTTTTTGTTTCTTAAAGCTTTCAGTCTTTTCATTTTATTAGGCAAGGGTTTAAAGTGCTCTGACAATGAAAAGCCGTAATAGACCGATCCTGTGCAGTCCTGACTGCCGTTCTGCTCCCTGTACAAAAACCTTAACTCGAAAGAGAAACAGGAAACTGGCCCTAAAGTAATTGTACTTTGTAATTTGGGTTTTGCCATTCAGTTCCTGTGGCATTTAAAGGTACTTCTCCCAAGAATCTCATCAATAACAGTCTAATTATTTCACTAGTAATAATATATATTAATGAAAATATTCCACTTATTTGACCTTTATTATTTTGAAAAGACATTCACAAGCTTGAACTCTCACTGCAGACTATCCCCTTCTTGCAACTTTACAAAGCCCTACTTGTCTATCATGAATTTTTATGTACTTTTGCATATATTGGGTACACTGGACTACAGACTGGATCCCACATGGCATTTCTAAAAACTGTCATAGAAGGGCTAGTCAAAAAAGGATTTGCCTCTGCCATTCAATTTAGTGAAGTGAGAATCAGTTGTAGTTTTCTTTTATTGTATGCTGTAGATCTTAGTCATCACCTAATTCATTTTTGCAGGCAGACCTTCCCACTCAATCCACTTAGAAGCATATAAAGACATTCCTGAGAAGATTGCATTACCAGCACATCACTGCCACTGTTCAGTGCTGGGAGTTTACTCATTCTCTGTCTACTTAAGATCAAACTTCAGCAGCACTTGTGTATCTTGTTAGCTTTCTGCTCAATCACTGAAAATGGTTAAATTCACACATCAAGATGATGCCTGCATCAGTTTTTCCCCACCTGTTGTTTTCTCAAGCCTTGCTAGCACCCCTGCTGTGGGGAAAAAAAAAAAAAAGTAGCCATTTGTACAAGAAAGCAATCATTTTAGTATGCTTTGTCCTCACAAGAACACTGAAAAGGGGAACATATTAAGAGAATAACTGCAATAGCTGCCTTTACCAGCTACAGCCATCAGCTGGGTGAAAACTGGTATTTGAAAGAAGAGATTTTTTCTTTTTCCTTGAGCTTAAACAAGACCTTCAGTATGTGAATTTTTGCTATCATTCTGCCTTTCCCAGATAGGCTAATTAATCTGAAATAAGATGCTACCACCTTGTGTGATTCAGTTCTGAAATGGAAATACATCAATATGGCACAATCAATTGATTTGCTCTTTTGATACGTTCACTGTGTCACTATCTTGTTTGAATGACATGCAAACACCCAAATAACAAAAAAATGCTTGTGTCTGTTTGTCCCCGTTTCTGTTAGTATTACAAAAGCAAAGATTTGAAACGGCACACTGTGCTTCATTATCTCTTAGCTCATGCATCCCTCTGTTTGCTTTGCAAAGAATATACAAAATGGAAAGATTTGTACATAATCACTGGCAATTAAAAAAAAAAAAAGCCTGCACGGTACATGTTTTCCAGCCATCCTTCAGAATCATTACACACTAAATGCAAATCAAGCCTAGCCACTGTAATCAATGTCTCCTTCAGTGTCAAAAATAATTCTTTAATGTCAGTAAGGGAGGCTCCTTTAAACATGTGTTGTCAATATTTGTCTTTGGCTGTAGTCTGATTTGTTACATCGGCTTTATCTATAAAAAACAGCTGCACATTGGCCACAGCTAGTCGTGAGCCTGCTTAGCAGGTCACCTGTTCAGCAAGATGTGAGAGGTCAAAACAAGAACAGTGATTGATAGGATTATGAAAACTCATTCCTCTCCGCAGCTTGATGGTATGCTGTCCTGACATGCCACACAGGACCACGGGGATGGTAACAAAATGAACTGCAGGTGAGCTGAAATGAGACAGACACAGTGGAAGATTAAGACTGACATGGAACTCCCACAGTCATGCAACTCCCTTTTCATGATGGAGCAGACGTGGTATTATGCTGCTCAAAATTGAAACACAGCAATGTAGCATTGGACTTAAAATTTCAGAATGAAATGCATGATCAAAAGCGTATCCAACTGCTGTGCCAGTGTATTTGTTGATAGCATTGGAACCTGGCAAAAAATACATTGGCTAATGGATGAAATGTGATTAATACTCAGGATTCATGTTCTCCTGCTGGCTGTGATTCTGAGTCACGGCGTGGCCTAGAGGCAGTTTCTCAAATCTAGACTTATCCATCTAGACTTGCCCATTCATCTGCAAGCAAGCTTAATAATTGCTTGATATGAGGCAATGGCACTGGATTTAACTTTTGGTTAACTGTTTTGAGGTCTTCAGTTGCAAGACAGAATGAGAGAACGAAGTATATTAAAAATGGAAAACATTTTCATAATGCAACACTGGAAATAAGCAGTTTATTATTTAAGATTTCATTGGCTCCTAGTTTGTTTCTTATCTGAAGGAAGACAACAGAAGTTAAATGAACCTGTTAACTTCCAGGGGCAGGCTACTAATCCAGGAAAATTAAGACTCCAGAATTCTCCAGCAATCCTTTTTTCCTGTTTCTCATTATTTCTAACAGATCAGCAACAAAAAAGCTCTATGCTTTCAGATCTGTTGGGGGACACAGTTTAGTGCTGCTACCATATCATTATTTCTATGGTCAGCTATATATCTGCACAAACTTTTACTATTTCATTTTTCTTATGTGGGTCTTTTTTTCCAGCATAGCTTTAGGAAAATACCATGCCTCTCTAAAACCCTGCCTGTGTCATGACAGGTTATGTAAACTTTTCAAGCTCTGAAAATAGACATGCTATGAAGCAGAAATTATCTGAGAGTAGAAAAATCAAACTACAAAAGTATATTGCATATTTTATTTGATAGTGCAATAAGCATCTGATCCTATGATTGTCTGTCACCTTCCAGGAAACCAGTTTTTAGTCTTATTTGTTGGGTAGACGAGCTGAGCTTTCTCAGTTCATTAGTATGGACTTTGTTAGTTATCTATGTCTTCTAATCACATGATGTCTAAGTGTTTATTAGGGTTTACATCTTACAAGCTTCAGCCACATTCCACTGAAATCAAAGGAGCCTTTCATCATGGTATGGTGACGCCAAGCCTGTCTGTGATCTTAAGTAGCTATGCTCCATCCTTGAGCTAAGTTGTTAGAGAAGATCAATCTCAGTTTTCACATTTACTTGGACTGTCTTGTCATTTTCTGTCAACCAGTTTTCAGCAAAAGCCTGAACTTTCATTGTCTCTCTCAAGTCTACAGACAGGCATCTAAAATTGCTAACAAAACTGATTATGCTGTATATAGATTCCTGTATTATAAGGTCAGAGAAAAACATTCTGATCATCTGGTTTGACCTCCAGACTGACACAGGCTGTAGTACTTCCCTAAATAGTCTGAGTTACTAAATATACTGAAAATATTGTCTTCTTGAAGTCTGTGCTGAAATCTGCACTTGGTTCAGTTTTTTGGTTTGGCTACTGTTGTTTACAGTCTCTCATCCACATAAGACAAACACTGTGAAGCTGACTGTTAAGCAGAATGCAAATTAACTTTAAAAGCTCTTTTTTTGCAGATAAATGTTTTAACAGCTAGCCACTGAAAATACTGCAGCTAGGAGCTAGCACACTAACACTACATAAACATCACCTCTGCAACTCTCAAGTCTGCTGCTGAGACTATGAAAAAAATACTAATTCCATGATTTTTGTACTGAGATTGTATTGCAGCCATAATAACAACAATAAAAAACTTTTCCCAGCACTGCTTCAGTTTGTATTAGGCAATTGCTATTTATGTTAACAACCCAAACTATCAAATGAAATGTAGAAAAAGCTAGGATTCCTTTGGTTTAGTGCCATTCACATTTGGGGGCTGGGGGTGGGTGGAAGTCTCCCACAGTAAAATATATTTGATGCATTCTGCCACTCACTTCAATCTACCATTAAATTATTTTTGAAGCCACTGCACTGCTTTAAAGAGATTATTTATGTACTGGTGTTATATTTAACTTGAGTCAAATGTTAAGGCTGAAAAAAAAATCAGAACAAAGAATATTCATAAGAAGTCTGTTCTATTCAAACACTTTTGAAATATTCTGAAGACCCTATTTCATTTTAAAGAATAACTTGACAATGTATGGCCTGATCACCAAGGATGTTTAACACTGATGCCTCAAATGTATTATAATTTGCATTATAGGGCATGTGCTATTTCTTTACATTCAGTCCTGGGAATCCTGAATTTGACAAATGTTCAAGGATACTGCTAAAGATAGAGGCAAGAGTTATCTGGAGACATATTTCCCACAAAAATCATTACGTGCCTTTAGATATGGAATAGAACTTCATGAAAAAAGTCTTTTTTTAAAAAAAAAGGATCATAAATGCCATGAGGTGAATGAGATCGGACAGCTTTATCTGCATAAAAGCTAGGGATCTTTTCAAGTGCACTTCATTGTGCAAGCCTACACTATCAAAATCGTATTCTTCTGAGCAAAACTGCCTTCTATTTTTTATAGTTTTCTACTGATTGCTCCAAGTTTAGTAGAATTTTAAACACTTTAAAACTGCAAATCCCCTGAAAAGCAATTCAGTGGGTACTCCTAATTAGTCTGTGGTAAGCACAAAGGTACAGCCAAAAAACCTGCCTCCATGTGCAATATTAAAAGAAGTGGAAATTGCAGGCTGCCACCAGAGATGGAAATAGAGACAAGACTGATAAGATAAATGAGATGAAACAATCATAAAAACCAATACTGAATAATCTGATGCCAGTTTTCAAGTTATTATTTAACAGGCACAGATGTTAGCATCACATTTTAGTTTGCTTTTCGTGTACATTATGAATTATTTTGCACTTTTGCATTAGTACACATTAGGCAAAAAACTGTCTCTAATATATTAGATAAAATGCGCTTTAGGGGGAGCTTCCCCCTCCTCAATCTGTTGACTGCTCTTTTAATCATAAAATGGTTGGACATGAGATCCAATCAACACTAAGGCTGTGCTAGCAAGTGACAAATCATTTCACTTCAGAAAATTATTAATCTTAGTGGTGCTGTGCTTGTGTGCCGTGATTTACTGAGAACAAAATAACCTCACAATGCTCAATTTAAAATTGGACACAGGTTTTGAATAATGGCACACATTTACTGATGTGATAAAGCAATTGAATAGTGAGGATTCATTCGTAACACACGGAACAGCTCTACCATCGAGATCAGATTGATGAATATAATATTGAAATATTTTTACCACAGTAAAATGCCTAAAAATTCTTCTTTTGGGGAAAGGTAGCTGTAGCAATTAAAGCATTGCCAAGATCAGGTGACTTTAAATTAGGTCATCTGCCTTACATGTCATTACTTTGGTGAAAACAGAGACAGGCTCTAGATCAAGACCAAATAATAAAACATCAAAACGTATTTCCCTTCTTCACCACTTCTTCACCTCACCTGCTCTTCTGCAAAAGACATCCACAGTTTCTATCACACAGCTGTAAAGCACAGCATGCTCAGGTACTGGTGCTTTGGTCTAACTTACCTTCTAAGGGATATTGACCCATATGTCATGACCACTTTGTCTTTTGGTGCAATTCAGCCCTGGACAGACCAGAAATCTGGAGGCAGTCTGGGTAGTTTACTAACCAAACTAATCTGATCGATATTGTGCCTGAATCTAATATTAAGAGTTTTTCATTTTTCATTTCATTAAGTCATTTTATTACATGATCAGTTAACCTTCACATTCTAAATTTCTTTCATCATTGACATCTACTAAGAATAAATACAGTGAATAAAGGAAAAAAAGTGAGTTTTACCTGCATTTTGTAGAAATCTATACCAGTCAAATGTTTCACTGGGTGTAGTCTTAATTCCTGTATTGAAAAAAGAGAAACACAACATGTTTGATTGGTCCCTGGATGGCTGAACTACGGTTCTAGAAGTCTTGCCCTAAGAAAACAGTATTTCTGTCGAGCACACAGAATTCCATACACAGCTGTTCCCATCTCAAGTTCTTCTCTTCCCAACAATGTCAGGTTGTCTGCACAATCCTTTCATAGACATCAGATTGCGATTCAATTGAAAATATTGCACAATCACACAGTGTATGAACTTCTTGAGCAACCCAGGGAATTAAGCTCACTTACATCATGCTAAATTTGGCCTTTTAAAATCTACATATGAGATACTATTATCTGAGGGAGCATATTATTCTAAAACAGACACAGGTCAGTTGAGACCCAAGTCCTTAACATAAGGCAAAGAAAGTAAATTAAATTTATATCAAAACTAAATATTAATCTAAACTGAATATGAATTTACTTGGTTTGCCTTATGTTAAAGATTAATTATTTTAGTAATGAAACTATTTTATTCATTTATTTTATCTCTTAATTAACTATTACCTCACAAGGGGCTCAAATATAGACTGAATATGGGCTAAATAGAGCTTACAATGAGTTATTTCAACATAGCAGTTTTGAAAATAATTTTATTTTCTTTGAAAGTGAAATACACAAAATGGAATGAGTTTTGGAATCTGTAGACAGTTATTTTTAGATAAATAAAATCAGGAGCTGTAGCTTAAGTAACCACATCTAAAATGCTGAGTTGAGTGTTCCCTAGACTACTCACTTAAGTAATATACTTTGGATTAGATACTTGTTGGGTGTCATTATTCTGGGAACTCATCTTAAAGCACTTAAAGGAATTTGGAGCTTCAGAGAATAATCACTCAGCATCTTGTGTGAAATCAGACTGAGGGTGTGCTCCTAGGCTACTAACTTCTGTATGCTTTGGAGAAAGCTTGGTGTTACCTTATCTTTCATATTCCTACTGTAAGGTATGTGGGAAAACATTTTTTTAAAAGCACCAAATGAGTTGAAAATTCAGGCTAGGAGACTGAAATCCTGCCTCAATTAAAGTCAATGGCAAAACCTCAACTTCAGTGGAGCTAGGACTTCAAACCCCATACCCATTTCAGCAAAATATTTCCAGGGCAAAAAAGGTAGATATATAAACATACAGGTACTAAACACATGATGCAAATAAATGGAATGCCTTAGTCAATATTTCAAAACTCTCACCTTGAGTTTGGACATATATTTTCTTCCTAGCATCTGGCTTTAAAGAGAAGGAGAAGAAAAGTAACTTTCATAGTTCACCATAAAAGATCTGTTCAATTTTCAAAAAAACCCAACTAGTATAACAAAATGCACATCAGTGTGATTTTGACTATTAAAAATCAAAACACACTATTAGAAAGATACATTTAAGTAACACCAAAAGCCAACAGTCAGCAATTTAAATTACATTTACTATGAACATTTACAGTATCAATGAATCAATTTTGCAGTTAACACAATTACCAAGTTAGTACAAACATATTTTTAGTTTATCTCTGTATCCTCTCTCATAATCATTAACCTGCTTATTGCGTAGAAAATTAAATATTTCCCTAGAATAAAAAGATTTTCAACTACAGAACAGCCCTAGTTCCCCAAAAATACTAGTCTTGAAAGAAAAATTATAGCTGGTTTTGAAACCATAGTCTACATTTATCCATAATAGAATTTTTAAACACATCAGGCATGAAACAAACTCCATTTACCTCTAACCTTTTCAAAAACTGCTGTCAAATATATGTAGACTTGTCTACACAGGAAAACTGGCCAGTAGTAGTTATTGCAGAATATTCCCAAATAAAAATTGCATAAGAAATTATTTTAAAATAGCTGTAGTAAAAGAGGTAATTACTACATTTCCAAAGTTACTCTTGAAGTGCTACTATGCTAGTTATTTAATTTAGGTGATTAAATAAGCAAGTTCTTATTTCAATATCTTTCTATAACTCCAACCATGAATTTGTGGAAAACATTTTTTTCCACAAAAACGTCAAAATATTCTTGGGATCTTTCCACATTGAAAAAAACCCCAAAACCAAAAAACCACCACTCCCCAGCAAACAAGCAGAGTTTTTTGAGCTCGAAGTGTTAGTGCAAAGCTTTCCATTCAGACAATTCCTAGTTGTTTTAAAAGCACTGGTTGCAATGCCTGTAAAGGAGTAAGCTGAGGAAGGTATTACTCAATTGGTGTAGTCTCCAATAGATTTGCTCAATATTACCTTGAATGTTTCAGTTTGAAATTACATTCTTTCAAGCACTTCCACTAAGGCTATTGCTTATTTCAGCATCATAGCATCCAGAAACAACCAACCTTCTTTAGAGCACCAGTCCTTCCTATCTTGAGACGAAATCTTGCCTCCTTTTTGGTGCCAATTTCATTACGTAGAGAGGCACAGTCCTAGCAGGCTGCGACTCTCTGAGTCACTGACTATTTGCCTGCCATGGCTCTTTCTAAAGTGCAGATGGAAAAAGGACTACTAGATTGCCCCTCCAACCATTCCACTTTTGAACGGTGGGACACACTGCTGAACTTTGCAAGCTAAATATTGCTATGCAGACTTGCCTCTTAAAGTGGAAAGTTGTTGGAATAACATAGCCAGAGTTAACCAAGGCAGAGCATCACGTATACCAGTGCATCAGGTCAAGCTGCACATTAGTCTTCCCTTCTCCTCTCCCACCCCTACCCCATCTTTAGCAGATTGTGAAATCACACCTGCAGGATAATGACTTGAAGGCAGGAAGAGAACTTGTACTTGGAGAACAAGAATTAATAGAGAAACAAACTGTTAAGCAACCAATTCCCAAACAAGTCAGCTCAGGAAATTAAAAAAAAAAATTGTTTCCTTGGCTGCTTCTTTACTTGCAAACATTTTGTTTTTCCCCTATCACCGCTATGTGACTGCCCCTCCAGTCCATTGCCCAGTCACAACAGTCTATTTTAGTTATTCAAAATGAACTGGAAATAGAAATGGACAGAAAAGAGGTCATTAAAAAAGTGAATAGTCATCAACAAGTGGTTCACAAATGGGAAGCAAGTGGTTTCTGAGAATGAGAGTGAATTAACTAAGTCACAAAAACTACATGAACAAGCAGCAAATCCAAACATAAATGAAGTGGGGGAAAAAAACCACTGTTTACACTACAGTGGAAGACTAAGGATATTCTATAGAGTTTATCTTTCAAAAGCTATATGAACTTTTGTGTTCAAAGCATTTAAAAATAAGAAGAAATTGTTTAATACGTTATTTTATTACTTAACATTTTTTCGTCCTTCTCTTACCTATGAGTAAGTAGCATTTTAAATTATACCAGATCTTCCAATCCTAAAAAAAGCCTTGCAAACAATGGAGATGGCATTGCAAGCTGGAGGCCAACTTCAGAATTTAAAATTGCCGGACAAGTGGGATAGCTGAAATTCCGAGCTAGGACATAGATGCAGCAAAACAGAAGGTGGAAAAAAGCAGATGGGGCAGAGGGCAGCTTAAGCCAGCCTTGCCTCCATAGCTGACATACTGCACAGTTCTGCCTCAAAATCTGGTGGGTGAAGATAGGCTTTTAGTTCCCTAAAACCACTAAATTTCAAAAATAAGCTTAAGTTAAGCATCTGGTTTCACGCTCTGCTGGACCTTTAATGGCTTACGCTGAGTAAATATAATCCTGCCAGGGCTTGGATCATCAAGAAGAAAATAGCAGGAATACTGTGTAACAGGGCGTACAGATGTATTCACACTTTATAGATCAATTTTCTGTTATGTTCTTTATTTTAAATGGTCTTGAGGAGAATGGAAAAATGAAATTGAATGCTAATAAAACTGGCTTAGGTAATTCTTATGCACCAGTTTTACACTACTGAAATAAAACACTGACCATAAGCACAAGATCTTTTACAGTATTTCAAACTCACTTGGAATACAGATTATTACAAATGCTGTATTATGTACTTCATAATTAAAGATAATTTATCCAATGTAATAGAAAAGAATTTGTTGGAAGATACAGCCCTTGAGCACAGTGCCATTGCTTACATGTTCATAATTTAAATTCTTAATTGACTGTCTAACTAATAAAGCACACATTAGAGCAATAATGCAGTTCACATTAGTGTGAGTTAATACGTAAAAAGTGTTAATATTCTGTGACCTAGGTATGGAAATATGTATTCATATTCTTCACTGTTTGAAAGTAAATGTTTGCTTTCACCCTTTATATGAAGATACAGCTAGAAAAAGAACTCAAAACCCCAGCATTTAAGACACGGGTCAGCAGGTGGTATTTCAGTTTAGGACTGGACAGACTTGCCTCCAGTTCCCTGTCTGCCACAGACCTTCTCCAAAACAATGAGTGAGTCTCATAGGCCCGGAGCACAAAGGTGTTTAGGTAAAATTGATCAAAGTTAAGTACTTAAAAACATTAGAGATGCTGATTTCAAAAGGATTTCACAGTTCAAGTTTGTTTCTCCTCCTTATACTCTGCTACTTTTGTCTTTTTCTTGCATAAGATCTATAACAGAAGCTGTGCCCTTTCATGTTTACCCATCATGAAGTTCATTGTAGTAACTATTAAAACCAAGTTATATTTGTAATGTAAATACCAGATCCTATGTCTGCTCATGTATCCTTTTAATGCAAATAGATTTAAAAAAATCAATTCATGCTGAAACAAAGTATTGAATATTAAATTGTTCTGTTGTGATATTTTTTAGGCAAGGGTGTATTAATTATTATATCATGATGCAAATTAGAACTGAAGAGATACCAAGCAGTTAGTTTCTACTTCTTGCACTTATTGTTCAGCTTCAGCTGATGTTTCTCAAGATGAGGTGAGTGGAGCTAACAGCTTGCTGCAGCTGGAAGAGGGTAGTCCTGCCTTGCTCTTTTTATCCTAGTGTGTTGCCCCTTACTGTCAGCCAAATAGTCACTGCTTACCCTTCACTGGATCCGGTGCTCATTGCAGTTCTCTGTGATCCAGTACAAGTCTTTAGCCAACAAGTTAGCTGGAAAGCTAACCTTGCACAGAAAATCAGCTGGGCTAACAAGCTAGATCAGCAAGCCCTGCTGCCTGGTGTGGAGTTTTTCACAGGTCACCAGTGCAGCCTGAGGCTATCCAAAAGCACTCCTTGTACTCAAATGACTGGCAGCTCTTTATGGTCTTCCTCTGCTCTTCAGAAACCAGGATTGAGCACTGTCTACTTCAAGGATTTGTCTCAATTTTCTCCACTGGCAATCTGCCATCAAGTCAACCACGTAAGGGTGAAAATGTTGACCCAGTCTATTTTCAAACAGGAGCATCAGATACTAAAAATAATTGCACTGAATGTCTGAAGTAGACTTGCAATACAGCAGATGCAATGGTACCTACTAAATGAAGAGAAAGAGAACGAACCATTATTCCTCCCAGTTTTTTGCTGACTAAATAATCTCCTTCAAATACATTGCCAAATGTATTTAACCACTCTACTGTTGAATGAAAATAATTTTATTAGTATTTTTCCATATATCATTCAGCAGAGTGTGTTTTGTTTTGTTTTCAGAAGGAGAGATGAGTTTTAAGAAAGTTAAGTGTTATTTATGTGCTATATATCCCTCAAGGCCTGGTCAACAGGGCTGTATATCACATATTGCTGGGCTTAGCATAACTTCAATTTTACCTCTGCAGCTCACCTTAAGAAGTTCATTCTATTTCCAGTGTTGACAAAACAAGTATTTTCAAATTATTCTTCCAAATTCTTTATTGCAAGTAAAGCTGTTTAGTGGAATTTTGGCAACATGAAGAAGTTTATTAAATGATGCAAAAAGAAACAATATATGCATATGGCACCAAGAGAGACCTGATAACAACAGCAATGATTAGTTTTAAATGTTACAGAGAAGCACCTCCTAAACTGCTGTATACTCTTTTCAAATACTAAACAGCTTTTAAATGCCAGATCTATTTGACCTCTCGAAGTACGTAAATAAAAAATGCTTTCTCTGAAAGGAAAAACAGGAATAGAGAATATGAAGATTATTTCAATTCTCTAGCATTATTTAGAAAACATTTTAGGAGAACGCATAGTTGCTAATACTATAAGCATCACCATCATCATGTAAACATACCCACTCTGCTGCTGCCAGTTCCTTCATTTTCACCGTGAAAGCCACTGCAAACCTAGTTAAATGGACAAAAATATTTGGGATCATCTGCTTAAAGTGTTTAAACATAAAACCAGAAAAGTACTTCAGAAAAAATCTTTATAAGAACAAAAGCAGAGGCTTACAAAAATGATTACAGACGGAAAGACAGAAAGCAGGCTTTCTATTTGTTTTACCAGAAAATACTGGTTAAACAAATGGTATCTTTTCAGGCTTTACAACTTAGACCTCTTGAGGAGTTAAAGTGAGGATTTCTTAAAGTAAGAGAAAACCCAAATAATGGGAACATCTCCCAGTTTATCTAGATTAATATATACAGTTTCAGTAGTGAGTTAGCATTTCCTGTTTCTACATCACTGCAAGTTGCAATAGCCCTCTTCACAACCAGAAAGCTAGGTAAGAGGGGATCTTAAGTCCAGCTAGTTTCATACTGTTGTTGTTTGGCAATACCCAGTCCCACTATTTGCAACTCATTGCAATTGAGTTTAGTTCAAATGAGCAGATGGATTTTTTTAAAGCTTTCCCCAATGTCCTCTCCTTATTTCTAAGTAGTCAAAGCTGTCAATGAGTAACAAACATCTGAGAGACCAAAATGTTATTCTTCAGGAAAAATATCAGAATTAAATAAACTGAAAAAGAAGAAAGATGATCCAGTGACTGGGCTTCAACTCTGGAATCTCACAGACTTGGGACACTCAGCTCTGTAGCTCTGAATGTTCGGCATCTGCAGTGGAGATGAAATTTGCATTGCTGAGTTAGACACCTGATATTCCTTTATAACAAATAGGGAAGAATTGGGTGCCCAGAAATGAGATTTACCACAGTCATCGTTTCAGGCAAAGAGACCATTACACTAGCCAGACATAATACTGATAGAAGGGCATTTTGACTGTACTCTGGATAAGACTTTTCTTTGTTATGAGAAGGGCATTTAAATGAATGAATTGTAGAATAGTATATGAACACCATCTACTCCTCCTCTGTAATGTATATAAATCATAATGCCAAAGTAAGAACAAACAAACAAAAGTGTACTTGAATAACTTAATGGCTAGGGTTTTCATCTGGGAGGGAGAAGAGAATTCTATTCCCAAGCTTACTTCCACTTTTTCTCTTATGGCTCTTTATAGTGGCTCATCTGGACTACTACTTATGTGCCTTTGAGAAATGTATGTAGTCCACTATCATTCCACATAACAGAAGAGCTATGTCAGAGACCATTTAAAACCAGCATTTACATGAACAGTTTTCATTTTTGGGTGTCTCATTACAGAGAGACTTCAGCCACAGAAGTCCAATTTCTAAACATATTAGATAAGTAAGTTATTCTTACTGGGAGCTTGGTGTAATACCAAAAAGTCATATGAGATGTTTTTATGGAGTCAGAATTAATAAAGAATTCCTGTTCAGAAGAGATCCTAAAAACATGTTGGGCTTTAATGTAGCTTTTAAGTTGTGATGAAATATAAACACATGCTTTGACTGTTCTTAAATGGAACTTTAGTGTTAACTGGAACCACAAGTGGGACCATTTCTGAAGACTATCAGTCCTGTGGAATAGAAATGTTTGAACGCCTCCTTCATATGAGACATAATGTGTCTCCTCAGCAAAATTCCTTTTTTTTTAATTGCTTTTATAGGCATTGAATATAAAACAGAGGTTATCACATATTACACTTATGATTCGGTGTTTCTTTTTCATAGAATTAATGTAATCTTTCTGTCCTGAGCCAACCCTATGACATCTCAATGGTCAGAGATGAAGCACATCGCTAAGTCACAACCAGAACAGTGCTTTTCCATTGGAGACGTTATGTTATAATTTGAGGACACGAAATCACAACCTTTCATTAGAAGTCACATAAATGCTGAATTATAACTCCTACTTTTGTTTATAGAAACAAACCTTATTCCCATACATTTGTTTTGTAGTATCTGCTTTATGGTACTACAATGAATTTCACATACACAATTTGACAGCTTTAAGGTTATTGAAGCCTTTGCAAATGCTTGTTTTGTCAAGTTGCACATGCTCCCTTTCCAGTTTTTGCAATTATACTTTCAATACATCACACTAACAAGCAGAAAAAACTGTTGCTCCTAAGTCTACAAAATACTGTTCAATAGAAAAAAATACCCTAGAGGAGTACAACTGCCATTTAGAGGAATTTGATTAAAAATGAAACTCTGATTATAAAGCTAGACAGTGTTCAATACTTTGTTTTATGGAATGTGGTGGTACATTGTACTGGACAAGTAATCTACTTCATGGTACTTTCTGCTTAGAACCCTGCAATCAATACAGAAAAAAAAAAATCAATGCTTCTTTTAATAACTATGAAATGAATAATACTAGTGATAATACTGGAGAAGAGATCCATTCAGAGTAACTTCCAGAAAACTGCATTGCTTTTCTTGTAGCAGAGAAAATATTATGAACTGCATAAAGATGCAGTAATATATTTTGAAACATCATAGCAAATCCAAGTTACTAAACTAATTATCATTAAAAAAAAACACTCAGTAAAGCACAGTTTTTGCATAAGCTATATTAGCTATATTTGTGACAGATCGTATTTTAAACACAGAACTGGATCAAATGGACACACTCAGAGATTCTGGTTCTGTATACTTTTCATTTTGTGCAGTGCTGAAATTTAACTGACACATTAGATCTCTCTTTTCTCTTCCTTCAGACCTGTTTAAAGAATAACTTCTGACTATTTGGTAATAAAAGTAAACAAGTATATAAATTTTGTCTTGAATGGGGCCTTAAGTTGCTTTTCAACTACAATTCACGCTAAGATATAAGAACATGCCCTAATGATTTTTCAATGAGCGTGATTAAGTGCTGTCTTTAAAATCTGTTTACCTACCACATTTTATAGGGCACTCTACACAGAACAGCGTATCTATGCCAGTGTTAAGTTAGCTAATAGTAGCTAGAACATATAGTGGTATTAGCAAAGATAAAACTACGACATATAAGCCTGCTGCAGATTCTGTATGCATTTCCTCATTGCTAACATGAACCAAAATCCATACTGCCGTACCTGAACCACTGTAGTTACCTGTCTTAGCTAGAATGCTGTGATAAATGAACAGAGACAGTATCCTGAGCAAGCTCTGTTCAGCAAGGTATTTAAGCTCTCCTAGAGTAAGTATGCAAGCACTACCTCTGGATTTGATAAGACGTTCCAGATGCTTAAATTTTATCTCACCCTGTACACTCAGGGATCCCTTCTCTTATGCAGAGCTCAATTCTGGAGTGATGACTCTTCAGAGTACTCAAGTCACCAGAAGCTCAGGCACAGTATAGTTCCATGAGTGACCTGCTGTAGCAACTTACTGCTACCAAAAAGACATCCTTCTCGTATCCTTACACAACCTGACTTTTTCTTAATAAAGGGGTAGAAAACTAACCCAGAAAAAAAAAAGCCAATTTTACGCCATTTAGTGAGTTAAACCTGCTCAGAAACCAGTCCAATCCTGGCACAAGGAAGGGTGGACCACAGAGCCACAAGCAAGAGAAAGGAGAAGGAGAGAAAGAGAGGTAGCAGTAGAGCCATCCCTGCCATCAGTGAGCTATTATGCTGGCTACATATGAAGTGACAACCTTAGCTTCTATCTTGACAAGACTTAAGCTATCTATTAAATTGATTTCATCCACTGGAAGCTTTACATACATAAAATGCTTTAGTTTCCAATAAGAAAAGGGCTTAATGGCCCACCATGGACATGATCAAACACTGTTGAAGTCAACAGACCTTTGGATCAAGCAGAAGGAAACTTCTTTTCTGGGGATGTTGAAACAATGAGGAATGCTGCAAAAACCTTTTTGGTTTTAGTAATTTTCTCTGATTTCTGATCAGTTCTTGAACTACATTTGATGACTACACTGACATGTCACTGGAACTTTTCTGGACTTTAAAAAACCCTGAAAATACTGCCTTGTCAATTCACCTAAAAAATTGAGAGAATTTGCTTAAAGACTTTTCCGTCTCTGCTTCTTTGTTCATGTATCTAGAGAAAGGATCACATTAGCAGGAAAAAAGAACAAAAGCTCTTTATACTTGAATCACCTGCTTTTCAATCAAGCACTCTGTCAACAAGCTAAATGCCAGGCCTCCGAGAAGAGGTTTGATTCTGTGATGCAACAGGACAAATGCCAGTTATTTTCAGTTGTTGTTTCACTTAAGTCAAACTGCTGGGCACCTTGGTCTGTATGTAGAGATAGCACTTAATGCATAAAATATGTTAGTTCCAATACAGAATATTTTATATGTTTGAATATATGTAACATAAACCAGAATTTACTAAGAAACAGAGGTTTTAAAAAAAACAACTTGGAGCAACATCTAGCACTTCTGGCACAGGTCCTTGGCAAACGGGGTCCCACCTTGTTTAGGCTAATAATACTACTACAGTAAGATTTAATGAGACTATTCATACCTCCACCACTAACTCACCATTAACCACCTCCACTACTAAAGATTCACTATTTAAATACCAAACATCAGTAATTTCATGGCCAGGATAGTTCTGTACAAATGAGAACTGTATGGTATTGTTGCAGATGCTTAGATGTGCATTTCTTTACCTGAATATCTGCAAAGTCTAAATAATTTTGGTATGAAATGAAAACTTCATTGCATAAAATTGTATCCATTACAAACACGTCAAATAAACCACAGTCAAGTTGCTACAGTCCACAGTTATACTAACCATCAAAGGCTGTCTTTATAATGTCTACCCATAAAGTAGATTATTCTACAGAGCAATATGCTGCCAAATCCCAGGTTAAGTATTCTTGCTATTATTCCTCTCATTTCTTTTACCTGCCTTAGCATTTTATATCCTCATCACATGCATAGTTCTATTATTCTAGAAAACAGTTATGATTCAATAGACAAAGCACAGGATTAGTTAGCAGGAGCACAAGATTTCCTTTTAATAGGATTTGAGTCTTTTTGAGAATTCATAGCCCAAGAGACCAAGTTTCAGCACTACCTCTGCCAACTCTTACATGGACAAATATGATGAAACGATTGTAACAGAGGAAATATAAAATGAATAGACTGCATATAGACTATATTTTATGAAGAAACTGTTCTACTTCCATCACTGAATCATAAAATAATATGCAGAGATCATAGGGATTGCAAGTAGTCTGCCTGTTGTCTGCTGGCCTACACATCTCCCAGTGCTTCCAAGCGTTTATGGAACAGTTCCTAAAAGATCTGACGTTACAAAAACGCGATTTCTTGTCATAAACCTTCCACACACGCATTTACCTGGCTTCTCCTAGCACTGCTCCCATTACCCGATGTTTCTCTTCACATTTGATATCTTCATTGACATCCGTCCCACCAAAGATGATTCCAAAAGGAATTCTGCTACCTGCAAAGCAATGACTACGATAAGAAGTTGACCAACATGTCAAGGTAATGACTAGAAGGGGACATTAAAAGTGAAAAAGTATATTGATAATATTGTATCACATATGTAAGCAAAAGCCTTTGAAAAAGAAGCCTGAAGAAACTTGAATTTTTGTGCTTTTGGCACTGAAAAAAACCATACAATAACTATGCACTTTCACAGCATGTCAGTCTGTTGTATAGCTATGAGATTTTCTTTGCCTTTTCCATGCTTAGTAAAAACAATCAATTAGTTTCTACACTTGGCAGCCCACCAAACAGCATATATATTTTATTCACATTTTAATAAGATGCAGTATTGCAAAGTTTGATCCCAGGTATCTAGCCTCAGCCACTCATTCACTGCCCCCTCAAGCATTCCAGTACAGTGGTTTGGGTGACCATCCTGCAAAGTTGGTTACTGAAATTTTTTTTTTTTTTTTAAATATTGACTTCCAAAGCCAATTTTACTGCTACAAAAAATGTCGATGGAGCCACACCATTGGAAAAGGTCACCAGATTAAATAAGGCAGTATATGTGAGCCTGCAACAAAACCATTTTTTTGCTTAATTCCACCCCAAAAGATGGATCTGTGTTTATAGTTGGTTGTTCCAAGACCTTCTGTGATCACCTAAGTTATGGAAGTTGTTTTAGAATGCCTTACAGTGCTCAGAACAGTAAGAGCAGGGGAAGGGATGTTGGCTGGGGGACAGTCTGTGCACAAGACCTTATCAACATTAAAATTTCAGAGTACCAGCAAAAGCATATATATCCTAGTGGTGTCTGCACTCTGGTAAAAGCCTAGTTTTGATACACAGCATCAGAATAAATTCATATTTGCGTAAGGGTAAAGCCACCAAAACAGAGTAGAGTAGCACTTCTATGCTAGCTGTGGCTGCACTTACATGGATGGACACGGCCAAAGACTACCTAGATGAAAATACAAAAGCCAATAGTAGTGTAAGATTCCTTTCTAATAGTATTTCTTTTATTGGAGTCAGGTTATTTTTAGTAACTAACAAGTTAACCAGTAATGTTATCCCCTTAAACTAATCAAGATAGCAGACAATAATGTTTACTGTTGATTGTTTTAGCACTGAAAACGACTTAAGTGGTCAGTTTTACCACCACATTAAGCTAACAAATAACAACCTCATGGTGGCTAATTACTACATGCAGAACATAATTTTAAATTCCAAATGGGACTGCAATTTTGCAAAAGAAACAGTCTCCAGTAAGACAGCCTACAAAACCTGTCATTAAGGTGACCAATTTTGTGGATTTTACAGATTTCTGTTAGCTGCAACAGATAAAGCCAAGGTTTCCTTCTGACTATGAACAAGAATAAGCAATTAGGCTGTATTGTCACTACGCACTGTGTATCAAGAAAGGGCAAAAATATGCTCTGTTTTTTCCCTTTTGCTATCAGATGGAAGGGGAGAGGGATCAAGGACTCAGTAGACAACACTGTCCTCAGCAGCGGACCAATGCACAGGGTGCTAGAGATTACTGTGTTGATGGAGGTTCTTCCTTTTGAGAGATAATATAACTGACCTTCAATGTTCATGGCTGTGAAAACTATTGGTGACACTTTCTATAGCTACCCACAGTGTCTTAGGGGGTGGGGGGGAAATTATAGGTTAAATTCAGTGAACTCTCATAATTAAAATTCATGGTTAAAAACAAGCAAATAAGGAAATCTTAAAGCAAATGGGGAATGAAATAAGTATGCTGATAAAGATGGAAAACTTACTATATGTTTCATATTTATATTTGAAAATTGAGCTGTAAGATGAGGATTTATTAGCATTGCTTATTTCCTCATTACTAAATGAAAGAACAAACAAAAAGAAGGAAAGACTAATTGCCATTCTGGCTTTCCTTGGCATTTTTAGATATTATATTCTAATGTTTGTAGGTGAACAGAATTAATGTGCACTATGAAAGCACCACAGCACTAATCTTCAAGAGACTGACCTTCTGCAATACAATATGAAATATATATTGCTTTTCTAATAAATAAAAAAGTAAATAATTATTATGTCATCTATTACACGTGTTGATCATACATCCCCAATCACGTAAACAAAGTTTCCAGGATAAGGCCCAAAAGATTGGTAGTATGGTAGTACTGGTAATATGACTGTAATCACTAAACTTCTTTAAGGTATTTCTTAATATATGGTATGGAAAGATTAAATGTTACAAGAATCAGGAATGTCCTCTGAATCACTTTTTTCCTTCAATAACTTTTACACTTTGACTAGGATCATCCCAGCAATCATACTACTTACTGTCTTGCTTTTCACAGATTTCTCTTTTTATTTTTCTTTCAGTTATTGAGGTGCTTTTTGGAACAGTGTGACTCTGACTTATTTAAATTACTGAGCTTCTGAAAATCATTCAGGTATCAGGCTTTGTAGGTCACTTGGGATTTTGAAAAGCTAATAGCAACAGCACTCAGGCAATGCTATGCAAGTCAAAACTGCAATAAAGTTTTACAGTAAACGTTTAAAATCCAGCCTTATTTTTTGTTCCTTAGTGAAAAAAAGAGATAATTCTAAGACCTTCCTTAAGGCTCCTCCAAAACAATTGTCACAAAAACAATCATCTCTATATTCCAACAAGAGAAGTCTTAATACATATGTTAGCAGAGATCATTTTACAGAATTATTTTATTTGTATTCTAGGATCCCCACTGAAATCAGAGCTCCATTGTAACAAAAGATACACAAACATGCCAGACAGAATAATTCAGGCTTTCTGAAAGCCCACCAGCACAAATTGCTGGGGGACTTCTGAAGTCTGAAAACTAGCACAGCACAGCTTATACTGAGATCTGATGAAAGTATCAAATTATGTACCTTTGTCCAAGTGAATAGATTTGTACAATACGAATGTGATCTCAAAAATGGATATACACAATTTCAGTAGGTGACAGTGTCTGTAATTTTGAAAGCCAGTGCTCCTAGTGTATCATCAATGGCAGGCTAAATTTTGTTCTACATGGCTAGATACAATACAAAATTTTATTATTTATCTGATAACATCCTGTCTCCTACAGTTTAGCTGGCAAGAATGACATCTCAAAGTTATTTCATGTCCAAAAAATCCTGACTCATTTTTGAGCAGAAAAATCAAATTAGTCTCTCTGCTTTCTTCTATTTGACCTCAGCTGTACTTAGCCAAGCCATTGTCCTCTGAAAGAACACATTTGCTGAAAGTATCTTAATGTTAATATAATGCTCTTGTCTTAATGTAGTTAAAGTACTTAATTATGAAATGCACTATGTGCTTTAAAAGTACATTTATTTAGTTTTCTCCTCTCTGGATCAGATCTCCCACAGAGAAAGTTTTTCAGCATTTCTGAATGTTTGTTGAAGTGGATAAACAGAATAACTACACTTCAAATACATATGGGTTTATACATTTATAGCCATTTATAACTGTTTGTATTCATTCTCCTCTCTTTCAGTGCCTTTTTAAAAGGTATTTTTATTGCAAAATAGAAAGGGGATTACCTTGCAGAAGTCTGCCTCCTTTATAAAGATGAATGGCCAGGGCTGCATCAAACTTGTCTGTGGAGGTTAGATTTGCTATTTCAGTTGGACTTTCATACATGAAAGCATCTTTAAGAACACAGATATGACCTGCAGCATGAAGATGATTCCTTCATTATCGGAACAAATAGAAAAAGAATAAAAAAAGATACTATTAATGTTGTAGGCATGCCAGTACATTAAATAAGCTTAATCAAAATGTTCTTCCTTAATAATTTTTTCTTGGACATTCACCTTTATGCTATTTCTTCAAGCAACCATGGAGCTATTTACAAGTTGTTTTTTTTTTTTTCCTCAAAAACATTTGTTACCTTCACCATTGTGAAGCCACAGTCACACTGCCAAGCAACATAATCTGCATCCATTTTAAGGCCCAAGCCCACAAGTATCAACACCACCTTTGGAAATCAGCAGAAGTGAAGTATGATCAGGATCTTTCCTGATTGAGCTTCAGCTTAAAATGCTGAAAAGACTCCTTTTGAACGGAGTGTGTTAGACCTTGGTCTTAGAGATTCTCAGATCCTTGTTCTGGAGAAAGGCCACTAAGTGAAGAAAACACAAATACATCCAGCTAATTAATCTATTAAAAATACAGAACGTGCAAAAAAATGAATACATAAATAAAACTGGAGAGTTGAAATTATATTCCCTTTCTGTTTGATTGTGGGTTTAATTGCTTCTTATCTTAGTTACCCATTTGTAAAACAGACACAGGATAACTGAAGTATAAGAAAAAAAACTACACAAAAGTAACTACACAAATACTTTCATGGTCTTTTTTAAAAATCTCAATTGCTAAAAAAAAAAAAACCAAAACCAAAACAAAACACTCCTATTGTAGTGTCAGCTTACACATTCATCTTTATATGCAGTAGTTCCTCATATTAAAACATTGATTAAAAGACTTCCAAAGTCAAGAAACTGACTGATTACAGGGAGCTTTACTTTAGGCATTTCAGTGAGCTTTGCTTTAGTCTTTTCTTTTATACACTAGGCTCATAACTCCTCCCACCAAAACCAGAATTAGTTATCAATGTCTCCAGTGACATCAGCCAAAAAACACACAGGAGAAAATACACAGTTTTTATAGAAGCTGACATTCTATTCTATTCAACATTCAACATTCTAGTCAACATTCTGTATCTGCTGACATGCCATGTTTACGTTTTCAATATTACAAAAAGACCACAAGAATGTTTTCTGCTTATTACATATTGTTCCAGTTGATTTATTTCACATAGCATATTAATTGTTCTGGCATTAAAATCCTGCTAACTCTATAGTTTCTTGGATAATGTCGGCTCTTTCCTTTCCTGATCATTTCATATCCTCCCAAGGAATGTAATTTTCTGTCCTGCAGAAGTTAGTCATTACTGCAGAAATTGGTGCTAAAAATGTTGTAAAATGTCTTGAGGCCTTGGAAGGAATGTATTAGCACTATATCAGACAGACCTCCATTGGCACAACATATGGTGCTGTATTCCTTCCTTCCTATTCTAAAAAGAAACTCATTTTACTTTTAACTTCACCGTTTGAAAAAAGACCAATAAATTATAATAAGTACTAATAAATAATAAAATACAGCCAGATTGTAAGCTCCTTATTTACACTGTTGAGCAATTACTTACATCAGTTGCCCCATGAACCTGTACCAAGTACCTGCTTGCCTTTTGAAAGAGGCTCTCAATTTATATCTAAATAATGATGCTCAAATCTCACAGCTGTGGAAAGAAAATCTCTTGGGCATATACTCGGGATGCTCATGCATGCATTCCATAATTTCACAGGTGCTCATTAAACAGTCTAGAAGAATTTTTTTCCCATCAGTATTCCAATTACCATAAATCACTATCATGTACAAGCAATATGTTTGCATATTACAATTAATTTGAAAATAATTCTCTCAGGACATCAGGAATCAAGAAACTCAGCTAGGAATTTCGATCTAAAGCATCTTTTTTTTTCTAATGTACTAGGAATGAATACTTTTCCTTTCCTCCAGAGTTTCCGCAGCTCCAAATCTCACAGCTGAATGACAGCTGTTTCTGCAGTAAATAGAGGGGGACTCCCTCAAGTGTTCCAAAGGCTTATAAATTGTGGTTTACCTCTATAAATGCTATTATTTTTCTACACATGACGACTCAGGAGCATGTAAAAAATTTGCATACAGCTTAAGAAGGAAAAATTATCAAATTATTCCCAGCATAATTTGAATTCCCAGATGTAAAGAGGCCTTAATCCCATAAACATACCATTGAGTTCATAATGATTAGTCACAGGCTTCAGATTATGCATATATGGAAATGTATGTGTGTAGAAGTAGAGCTATTGGGTAGTATTTAAGTACTGAAATTTACAGTGATATTCTCGTATTTTCTAAACGACTTTTCATCTTTATAAGCAAAAAAACCACAGACTATGATTTTCACACATACGCTGTTATCAAGGGACATGATAAGAGGGTGCTCCAAAGTTATTGCAGGAGATTTCTTTGAAGGCTGATCTGTCTATGAAGTCACAGATGTCCCTGAATCGAGCCAAGACAGAAGAGATACATTACCCTTATCTTTTCTCCTCCTGGCAACTGTGTATTCACATTATTTTGCCATTTCATAAACAAATACTTTCCAAATGAAAAATAAAAATGAACATGTCTCCTGCTGTCTGTGAATCTAAGACAACCCTGAAAATGCTAAATCTAAAGGTACATTTTCTCTGTATCACAGTTTTGTATGTGGTAGATAAATTTCCAAGTAAGTGTCTTAACTACCAGTGATTGTTGCTTGGATCCAGAATTTGCCTTGCTCTGCTGTATCTTTCCCTTCTACTGAAACTCTCTTGGAAGCCAATGCCACTACTTGGGGAGAAAAGTATTTCTAAAATGGAGATTGGCTGTCAGATTCCAGATTTCGGGTGTTTTGCTAGGAAGTAACCAAACGGGGAAAACTTCAGTCATTCAGTCAGTTTGAAAGATCATTTCTTAGAGTACATTGTATTAATCACTGCTTACGCCGTGATATTTATACACATCTGAATATTGGACAAAATATTTCCCAGCCCCACTGATTTTAGTATTCAGGGAATTCATCTTTTGTGTTATACTTTTTACACTCTTTGGAAATCATGAGGTTTATAAATGAAACCTGTAAGTGGCTGCTCTGGATCTATACTGTATGCAGAGAGATATTGCTAAAAGGTACAAACCTTTTCTGACATGTTTTCACTTTATTAAAGATTTCTATAGAAAAACATTTTTCTCTAACACAACTATGAAATAGCAGGTGATGTTTTACAATGTTTCATTTTTTATTTCCTACATTATTGATCACTACTTCTCACTTATCCTGGCTAGCAGTCTTCCCTTCTTCAACCTGAATCTGCAGTTCACAGGTCTTCATGTACAGAAACAGTTTCACAGTTCCAAACACAGCATGGCTGAAGCTAAGACACAAGCGACGTAAAAGTATGCTTGCTTCTAAAGTATTACAGTTTTGAAACTTGCTTTATTTTCTGTGATGTCTTCCTCTCAAAAACATTTATGTTCTAATTTTCAATTGATATTTCAATGGAATTACTTGCAGACAAAAAATGTTTGATTTCCAAAAAGTTCCTGGTAGGTATATACATTGACACTTCTTGAATGGCACAAAATAGGCTTCATCCAAAAATATTAATTATCTATCTGTAAAGCAGCTATGCATCAACTACTGTTAAATCTATACAGCACAATTCAAAGCTTATTAAGTGAGCAGAGTCACTTCCACTGCCTTTTCTGAAACTCGGCCAGAGCTGAATACTCGCAATTCCCACTGAAGTTGATCGAACTACATGAGTTGAAACCCTGCTTGATCTTTTCTGTTTTCTTTGTAAATTATCTTCATTTTTTTCATACTTGTTAAAGCAAAATATTCTTCATTTTATTTCTCTCTCAAGCTTCTCCTTTAAACAACACAGACAAATTGTGTTGGCATGAATGAAGTATGAATAAAATCCACTGTGAATAAGAACAGAAATTAAAAATGTGAGCGAAAATGGGGAGAGAATCCTTCTGTCTCTATGTTCTGAAGTCAGTAACTCTCCTTTGGAAGGACAAAATAACTCTGCAAAGTTTAATCCTGCCTTATAAATAGGTCTAGCCGTGCAAAACATGTTGGGATGCAGCATACATCAAGTGCAGGCCATGTAAATGACTGCATCTCAGTTCCAAAGGTGGAGGATGAACGCCTGCCTTGCAGCTTTCCGGCTCTGGGAATGGCCACGCAAACAACAGCAGGA